AGGGCTTGGTCAAGGGCAAACTCGAAGAGGGTGCCACTGGAGTTGAGAGCCTCTCAAAGATGCTCGAGGGTGTATCAACAGCAGTGGAGAACAACGCTTCCGTGAACCAAGACCTGAAGGAGCTCTCCGACACGATGAAGCTAGAATTCGAAGAGTCCAAGGCCGCTGTAGTCGGTGCGAAGCTGGAGTCCGACGAAAAGTTCCAGCAGACCACTGAGGCCTTGAGCGCCAAGATTGAGGAGAAGGTCGCGGAGCTGATGACCAAGTACGACGAGTTCCACGTTGCCCTCGACGACCGTGCAAAGGCCGGGGAGGCTAGAGATGCCAGCACTGAAGAGGCAGTCCTGGGTACCAAGGCTGTTGCCGAAGAGCTCAAGTCTCTCGTGGACACACTTGGCGCTGCTGTTACCGATTCAATGGAGAAGATGGAGGAGGCATCCAAGACCGTGTTCACCAGGGTTGAGGATCTCATGACGAAATCTGAGGAGAACCATACGGACGGGAAAGCCGATCACCAGCAAACTCGGGACCACTTGAAGCAAGCTGTCGACGCCGTCGAAATCATTCAGGGCCAGCTTATTGAATCCCAGCCTCAGATCTTGGAATCCATCAAAGATGTCTTGCTCATCGTCGGTCAACATTACGATTACGCCAAGACGTCAACGAACGATATTCAAAAGACAATCGAGGATGCCAAGCCAGTTGAACTTGCTCTGCCACCAATTCCTGACAAGTATGACGACACTGTGGTTCTGGAGAAACTTACTAAGTTGATCGAGCATACTGAGGTTCCGGTCGAGAAGTACAATGATGCAGGCGTTCATGAAAAGCTTGACAAGCTCGTCGAGCATGCTTCCGTTCCTCCTGAGAAGTATGACGATGCGCCAGTACATGAGAAGCTTGACAAGATCGTGGAGCATGTTTCCACTCCAGCAGAAAAGTACGACGACACGCCGGTTCACGAAAAGCTCGACAAGCTTGTAGAGCACTCTCAGGTGCCTGTCGAGAAGTACGATGATGCGCCGGTTCACGAGAAGCTCGACAAGCTCGTGGAACACTCCCAGATACCTGTGGAGAAGTACGATGATGCGCCGGTGCATGAGAAGCTCGACAAGCTTGTGGAACACTCCCAGATTCCTGTGGAGAAGTATGACGACGCGCCTGTTCACGAGAAGCTCGACATGCTTGTGGAGCACTCCCAGGTGCCTGTCGAGAAGTACGATGATGCGCCGGTGCATGAGAAGCTTGACAAGCTCTCTGAACAGCAGTTGCTGATCCCGACGGAGAAGTACGACGACGCAGTGGTCCAGGAAAAGCTGGACAGGATCGCTGAGTACCAGTCTTTGCTCCCAACCGAGAAGTACGACGACGCGGCAGTTCAAGAGAAGCTCGACATGCTTGCCTGCGGGCAGTCGTTGATCCCTACGGAGAAGTACGATGATGCGCCAGTGCACGAGAAGTTGGACAAGCTTGCTGAGCAGCAGTCGTTGATCCCAACCGAAAAGTACGATGACACAATAATTCGGGAACAGCTCGGAGTTCTCGCTGAACAGCAGCTGCTGATTCCCACCGACAAGTACGACGACGCAACTGTGCAAGACAAGCTTGACAAGATTGCCGAGCAACAGGCCTTGATCCCCACTGACAAGTACGACGATGCCGCCGTTCACGTGAAGCTGGACGAGCTTGTTGATCATACTCATGCTGCTGAGAAGGCCTTTGGCCAGCTCGACACTCTTGAAAAGGTCCACCAGCAAGTCATTCAAACGGCCACGGACATCTCGCTCTTCCTTGCTACCCAGACCAAGAAGATCAAAGAGGAGGAAGACGACAGAGAGCAGACCCTCCAAGAAGTGACCATCGAGTTAGAGCGCAAGTTTACTCTCAAGGAGCAGATTGAGGCCAGCTTGCTGGATCTGAAGCAGGAGGAGGAGAGACTCAGGGCCTCTGTACTCGGACTTCGGACGGAGCAAGAAAGTCTTATTCGGCAGAAGACAAGGCTGACGGGTGATGTCTCGTCTCTCGAGACTGCACTGCACATTCGTCGAGATGAGCTTCACGACATGGAATCTCGTGCCGAGGGACTGGAGCGCCGCATCCTGGAAGGCGTTATGGACCATTCCCGCGTCCTCCTGATGTCAAAGGCAACCAAAGGACGCGACGCTATGAGCCGTAAGCGTGTCCGGGACCAAAAGCCGGGTCAGGAGAACGGGGTCCCCGAGAAGCCTGCATCCTCTGCTGTCAACTTGGCGCTCTCTGCCAAGCGAAACTTGAAGCCTCCTTCGCAAGCGGGCGCTGCTCGCCGTATCTTGTCACTGAGCCAAATCACGAACAATGTGCCTACCGGTGGTGTCCAGCGGAGCCAAAGCGTCAGGACAGCCGGCGCCCGTGGCCATCGCAAGTCTAGCTGGGCTGGAGGCTTTTCGAAGGGCTATGGAGATCTCGACAAGGAGAACATGTCTTTGAAAGAGACGGAGGAGGAGAACATGCCCAGCCCCACGCCTGTTATGCACGAAGAACCGGCTAGCGGTGACGATCCCAGCGACACCGAGACGCTGCGTCGTAGCAGTCATGGCAGCCGTATGAGCCGTGGTAGCCGTGGTACAACTGTCGTGACGGAGAGTACCGACAACTACACTGGCGACGGTGACTACTCGGACTATTACGACGACAACCAAAGCGATTTGCAGAGTGACCTCCAGAGTGAGTGGACCGAGAGTGTCGTGAGCTCAAACGTCAGTTCAGACCTTGGCTCCAACCTCAGTCAAGAAACCCTGAACAATGAGGCCGCGGCAGTGGGGGAAGTGGCCTAGGATGACGAAATTGGTGTCTATTGAGAAGTTGTTTTCACATGGACATATTGACGAGTATTGAATAACGCATGAGCCAGCTGGGTCGGCGTCACCTGGGATGAACGGTAGTTTGTATCAAAATGGAGTTATTGGGTTTCCTTTCTCTTTTGTCTGAAATTGGTAGTGCTGGTATGACTCCAGTCGATGTTTAGTATTGTAGTTAGTGTGTTGGGAAAGTAGTAAAGTACAGAATTATCACCACCTTACAACTGCGTGCCACATGACGAATACGCTTTTGGTGAGCTTCAATGTCTCTTTTTCGAGACGCGCCAGACGCACGTGGGTCATACATAAGTACAGGAGTGCCAATACAAGTGTTGTTACAAAGATGCAATCTCCTCAGTCAAAGTTTGCTATGAGACAGTCTCGCGAACAATCTTTTCCTTTCCATCCATCCACGGCTGCAGGCAAGCCGGAATGGAGACGGACATTTCCTGCTCGTTCCATCCGGCCTCCAGCAGCGCAGCCAGCACTCTCGGGACGGCGAGAGCAGTGCCGTTGACGGTCCAGGGGAAGGTGAGCTTGCCGTCAATCTTGGCGCGCGTGGCGAGCCTCCGCGTCTGGTAGTCGGTGCAGATGCTGGCGGAGGTGACCTCGCCCCAGCCGTCGTTCTGGTCCTGGCGAGACGGGAAGAAAGCCTCGATGTCGCACTTACGGACGGCGGAGGCGCCGAGGTCGGCGGTAGGCATCTCGAGGACGCGGCAGTGCAGGCCCAGGGACCCGAGGATCTCGGTCTGGATGTCGAGCATCTCTTCGAAGACGTCGACCGTCTCGTCGGCGTCGGGCGCGGTCCAGGCGAACATTTCGACTTTGGTGAATTCGTGGACGCGGTAGAGCCCCTTTGTGCTCGCGCCGCGAGCGCCGGCTTCGGCGCGGTAGCACCGGGAGACGGCGACGCGTTTCGCGGGCAGCTCCGTGGCGTCGATGGTCGTCTCGGCCTTCATTCCCGCGAGGGGGATCTCCGACGTGCCCGCGAGGGAGAGTTCCGGTTTCCCGCGCTCGGCGTCGGCGGCGGACTGCGCGAGGCTGTAGATTTGCTGCTCGCCGTTTTGGTCGCGCGGCTGGAAGCCGCAGGCGGCGGCGACGTGGCTGTAGACGACGCTGGGCGGGGCGACCTGGCGCCAGCCGTGCCGCGTCGCGACGGCGAGGGCGAACTGCACCAGGGCCTGCTCCAGCTGCGCGGCCTCGTCAAGGAGGTAGTACCAGCCCCAGCCCGAGACGGTGCCCGCGCCGGCGAAGTCGAGGAGGCCCAGCTCCGAGCCGATGTGGACGTGGGACCGCCACACCTTGTCCGAGGCGCTAGGCGGCGTGTCGGTCTCGTGGGGGTGCTCGTTGATGTAGCTCAGCAGCCGCGGCTCGTCGCCGACGGGGGTGACGCCGCTGGTGAGGTTAGGGATGGCGAGCGCGAGCGCCTCCATCTCCTCGACGAGCCTGGCCTCGTCCTGCTCCACGGCCGCGAGCTTCTGCTTGAGCACGCGGGCCTCGTCCAGCAGCTCGTCACGGGACCTGCCCTGGAGTTCGTTAACTTCCGCATTGTCGTCGCCGCCGCTGGTGGACGCCGGGTTGGCGATCTGGCGGCGCAAGAGGTTCGACCTCTCGCGCACGGCGCGGCTGTCCTTTTGCAGGGCCTGCCATTGCGCAAAGATTTCGTTGATGCGGGCGGGGCTCTTGCTCTGTTGGACGTAGTTGCGCTCGAGGCAGTTTTGCTCGTGCAGTTCTGGGTTCTCCCTGATGTGTCTGATGTCGATGATGGGTTTTGGCGCGGTCGAGGGCCGCTTGACGTCTGCGAAAGCACGGCGTTGTTGTAGGGGTGAGTGAGAGGCTAGACAGTTCACTCTGCTGACGATGCGTGGCGTGTGTGGTGAGGTGGGCAGGAGGCGCCTTCTTGCCGTCCCTAATGAGCTGCGCAAGAGAAATGTCGGGTCTCTCCCCATTTTGAAGTCTGGTGACTGAGAGTTTGAAATTCAATGTCTCCCTCTATGAGTGAGTGTCCAGAGGAAGTGAGATGATCTGATATGAAGGAGGCGTGATAACTGTATGAACCGCTTACAAGCATAACAGCAGGGGTTCCACTGGTCCGTTCACCCAATTAAATGCGTCTTCAGGTTCGCTCACTTCGATGGACAGACGCGCGGTGGACAAAGTATGGTCACATATTTTGACTCTGTATTCTTTTCTTCACATTTCGAAGGCCAGTTGGCCTCCGGGGTATCAATCCATTTTCACATGCCGGTAGACATATTTCCACCCGCCTCGCTATAAAGTTCCCCATGCTCCCAACGTCCAGTTCGACTGGCCTCCAGCTCCTCGCATCAGTCCACCGGGACCCATGCTTTGCCGCTGCTGTGCCTTGACGTCGACTTCGTTCGGCCGTGAAGCTCCGTTGACTCCTTGTTGAAGCCACAGCTCTCGGTCAATGTTTGCCATTGCCATTACTTTAAGCTGGCACGCCAGGCTGGCCCCTCCCCACGGCCCGAGAGAATCTAGAGGCCGTAAGGTGCCTTGGATTTTGGGATGGTGGCTATCTCGCTTCTTTAGAGAGTCCTCAATGACATCTGCTGCGCTTCGCGGCTCATCTTCGCCTGTGGCTCTACGTTCTTCCGTCTCCCTTGCGGGCGACTCAATCTCTGTAGGACCTTCAGCTGCCCGTCGGCTGCCTCTCTTCAGCAACGCGTTGTTCTCGTACTGCTTCGGTGCACGCCCCTGAACAGGGTCCCACCCACGCTCGTGTACCAGTTTTGACAGCTCATCAAATATCCTCCGCTTCAAGCCAATGACCTTGGAGCAGCCGCCAATGAATACAATGCGCGACATGCAGACTGCGCGAGCATCGATGGGAAGTTGGACAAGATGTTGATAGATGAGGTGGTGGACAGGGAGCTCGTCGTCGTCGAAGCTGCTACGTGAATAGTGTGGTGCGAAGTAGGTGTTTTCGCACGGCTCAGACAGTTGTTGGAATGGCAAGGTCAGGTTCTCTGCTGGTTCCACAGACTGTATCCGAATCTCGACATTACCATCGGACCGCTCCTCTTCCTCAACTGGCGAGGCTGGCGGGGATTCGTCCTGCTCCTCAACCGTAGGTAATGCCTCTCCTCCAGACTTCTGTTGCTCCTGCTGCCTAACATTTGGAAGATCACCGCGTTTGACTTGGCGACACCAGACGAGGCGGCAGGCGACTTCTTCGCACTCCTCAAAACTGAGAGAATGTCGGCCTTGCTCCCTTTCACTGCGAGTCTTTTGCGTGTGGGCTGATGAAGTCGACAGTGCATCTTGCAACAGGTTATGTGTCTCGTTGACCAGCATCTTGCCTGCGCGGGTAGTCCTTGTCGTACGGATCTCGCGGTATTCGTAGACGCTCGTCACACTAGTCTCGGCCCAGCCAAGATCCACAACCAGTGCTGACCGAGTGCCAGCTCCCACAACCGACGTGACTGCAGATGACATTAAAGAGACAAGCGGTGCCTGGAAACGGTGGAAAAGAACATCGAGGGTGGTTGATAGTAATGGCAGAGGTATCGACGAGGAGAGAACTAGAGAGGTTCTTCGCGGCCGTGAATCGATGAGAAGGAACCTGGACGACGAACGTTAGTGTTGTGTGATGGACTTCATAGGCGGGGATGCGTCACTTGTTCAATGCTTCCCGAATGGCTCGGTCTATCTTGTCCTCAACGAGCCCCAAGTCAACGGTCCGCACATCGTATTGCCAGAGCTCATGGTCGTCTCCCCAAGTCTTGCCCGTTGGACGTCGCCGCCAATCATCCTTGTGGTCTGGATCCCAGGTGCGGAAGTCGCCTACGCGTCGCAGTTGCTCAGGACCTAGGGATAGCACGGCCTTCGGCACTGGCTCTCCGGCGAACCCAAGCTTGATGAAGCGAGAACCCAGCTCTATGACAATGATGTCTTCCTCAGCGCGTAGACTGGATGGGGAGCCAAATGTTGAAGAGATATTGCGAGAAGGGGTGTGTGGACTTGCAGGGCCACCGCTGATGCCAGAGCCTGTCTCGGTTCGAATGTTGGCAATGGATCGGTGGGCGAGGCTCGGTGCTGCGGAGGACGACATCTTGTAGGAAGCAGTAATGAGAGAGACGAGGTAGCGTTGGGAGCGTTGCGCTCGGGTTTAGCAGGCCATGCCTCGCGTGTTTAAGTTGTCAGAGGTTGCCCCTTGTGAAATTAAAGGCGCCTGCAATGGAAATCACGTCGGATCGTTGACCAGTACTCTCAGTACTCTGTTGTGTCGTCGGGTGTTGTTTGCGCGCAATCGAGGGGTTTGGTGCGGTTCAAATGTATTAGGAGAGCCCGTGATACTGGAGGTTTAAGGTAGAGCTCATCGATTGAGCCTCTGAGTCTGAGGTCAGGTACCTACGGCCGAAAACGGGTCAAGCGCTGTGGAGCTCCCCTGGCGTTTTATTTTGAATAAAGTGGAGAACGATCGCTACAAGTACAAGGTCGTGCAGATGTCATTGAAATGGGTGGCACTGGCCGTAGTCCCGGTAACCACCTCACTTTGACGTGATCCAACTACCAACCTTCAGTCAACACCTCACACCGAAAGGAATTGGAGAAGTCCTTGAATACGATCTGTGTATGAGTTATTGAGCATGATGATCTGCGCCTAGCAAATCTTTGGGAGGCCCGTTCCATTCCCGTTTCTAACCGTTCCATTTCCAGCACAACACGAGAATCGTCGTCCAAATCAACGACCTCATGCCTTGCGCCCCCCATATCCCTCCACTCCCTGGACGGAACTCTACATCCACACTCAACCCGGAGATCTAACCTTTTATACCCTACATTTTTATCTTGATTTGGTCTTCTGGCCTTCCGAGCGATTGAAAAATTGCAATGGGAATCAAAGGGTATTTACCAACACCCCTGGTCTCTTCTTACCATTATAGCGCGGTCTCACTCACATTACATCCACAGAATTTACCGTGAACTTGGCCCCGGCAAGAGGATATCTCTTGCTAAATTGGCTACAGAGAAACTTGAAAACACAAACCGGCCGTTACGGATTGCCATTGATATTGCCATTTGGCAATTCCAGACACAAGCCGCACGAGGTAGCATCAACTCTACGTCCAACATGACCGCTTCAGAGCTGACAAACCTCACCAGGTGGAACGAATCCTGCAATCAGGACTCTTTTTTATCGCTTGGTGCGACTACGAAATCTTGGTATACACCCCATTTTCGTCTTTGATGGACCTCATAAGCCGGCTTTCAAGCGCAATAAGCGCTCCGGTAAAGGCGATGGCGTTGCAATAGCCATGGCCAAGAGAGTCATTCGCCTTTTCGGGTTCCCAGTCCATGACGCACCGGGTGAGGCAGAAGCCGAGTGCGCTCTTTTGCAGCAACAGAAAATTGTCGACGCAGTTTTGAGCGAGGATGTCGACACAATCATGTTTGGCTGTACTCGAACTCTTCGAAACTGGACAGCAGAGGGGACTCGCGGCTCCAAGACGCCCACCCACATCAGCATGTACGAGGTCAACGATGTATTATCTGCCGAAACGGGTCTGGATCGGGAGGGTATGGTGTTGGTTGCACTGATGAGTGGAGGCGACTACATACCGGAGGGTGTACCAGGATGCGGTCCCAAAGTGGCATGCGAGGCGGCGAAAGCTGGGTTCGGCAAGTCGATATGCCGCTTAAAGATCGAAGACGATGCCCAATTTGACGAGTGGAGGATGTCGTTACGACACGAACTGCGTACCAACGAGAGTGGCTTCTTCAGAGTAAAGCATAAGGCTTTGTCCATACCGGACGAGTTTCCGGATCGCCAAGTGCTGAGGTACTATACACACCCGGTTGTCTCAAGTGCCACTACTATCAACAGGCTGAAGGCGGGTCTCGATTGGAGTGGCCCGATAGATGTGCAAGGCCTCCGGTACTTTGCCGAGGAGACGCTTGACTGGGTGAACAAAATCGGTGCCATCAAACTCACACGAGTCCTGTCACCTGGGTTACTCGTCCACAAGTTACTGGAAAGGCACCTTTCCGACCAAGCAAGCTACCAGACGACAGCGGAGATGGAAAATGTAGAATCGAAGCTGATCAATCGTATCACGGGGACACGAAGCCATCACAGCACCGATGGCATTCAAGAGTTGCGCGTAGCACACATTCCGACCGAAATAGTCGGCCTAGACCTTTCACAAGAGCTAGACGAGGCCGAAGAAGTGCCCTTTGATCGCCAGGGCCTCGGGCTCAATAGCGATGAGGAGTTCGAAGCTGCCACCGACGGCGAGGGAGTGCCGGCGAGCAGCCAGGTCGCGCCAAAAAGCACATTCGACCCATATGCCGCCCAGCTGATCTGGCTGCCCGAGTCGCTCGTCAAGCTCGGCGCGCCTCTGACTGTCGAAGACTGGGAAGAGAAGCAGCGCTCCAAGGCGTCTACAAAGCCCAAGAGCACCAGCAGTAAGGGCGTCGGCAAGAGGAAGCCTACCAAAGCCGCCCCACCTGAAGCCGGCGCTCTCGATAGGTGGATGCAAATCACAAAAGGCACCACAAAACAATCAGCAAAGGCCGGTGGCGCAACATCGCAACACCAGGTGGACAATGAAGACGTCCTGCCGCCACACCTTCCCCGACCAACTGTGCTTAGGCCTGATCCATCAAAGATCACGGCAACGTCGTTTCCAGCATCCTCCTCCTTTTCGTCGCAACGACCGACCCCCTTGCCGAGACCAACCAACCGAAGTAAGCAATCCAGGCCCAACGGGAAAGTGTCCGCCACGGCGGAACCGACCGCGCACAGTGGCAACCCCTGGGCATACGCTGGCTCACAACATATGCCTAGGATCACCAAGCCTCGGCAGCCCGCAGAGCCGATTCTTCTGTCATCTAGCCCCGTGCGCGCTTCGCCTGCGCCTGCTTGTTCGTTGTTGAAAACACCGCTGAGCCCGCTGAGGAGCCCACCGAGTCCACCACCGAATCCACCGCTATCACCTCAGCAGCGCATCTTCATCGACCTGTCAGATTCTGATGAAGATTCCTTCGTCGAGCCCGAGCCCATCCGGGCAACGAGAAGGCCCAACCCGCCTACCGCGTCTGCAGCAGCGCCTCGTCATCGTCCCTCCCAAAGCCCCGGGAAACATCGGCCGTCGACAAGAGGTTCGTCACCAGTACTACCCACCACGCCGTCAAAGAGCCAGCGGGGTTTGAAGCAAACTCGTATGGATTCGTTTGTGACTGCTGGCACGACCGCGCGGTCAATGGAACAGGAGAACATCCACGACAGGCAGCCGAGGAGGATACAGAGCGACGTCCGCGTCGAAACGTCCATTACCGTCAGCAAGACAGCCAATGTCAAGCCCGTTGGGTCGAAGGATGTTCCTGCTGCTGGCTTCCATGGTTTCCGAACCACCAAAGTCACAGCTTCCTCTTGGCTAGAATCAGACGATGCATTTGCTCCAAAACCCACAGCAAAAGCCGCCTCGGGAGAGGCCCGGAGAAAGGTCATGGTTCCACGGACGAGCGTCAACGGATTCTTCCGGGTGGTCGAAGTGAGCGACGAGGAGTGGTTAGCCGGAACGAAGGCGATGACAGCATCGGAGCGCTTGACAAAGGACTGTGACGGATGGAGACAGAGCGAAGTTTCCATTATAGATCTCACAGGAGACGATGAATAACGATACCCCACCCTGTACCACCTTGTACTACTACTACTACTACTATCAAGCAAATTCAAGTGTCATTCGATTGACGACAATGGATTATGTCTGAAATCTAATGCTATATGCCTCCCTGAATCCAGGCCTTCTTTGCAGTGTCGACGCTCGACGCGAGTTTCGTCATTGGGTATCCCAGGCTATATTCGTCAAATATTGCAACTCAAAAAAAGATTCCAAACATAAAAAAATAAAAAATTTCGGACAGTAATTTCGTATATCATTAGTCGGAAGAATAACCAGTATGCTTCTTCGTCTCGTTCTGCAGCCGTAATCTAGCCGAGCATCAGAGTCAATTTTTCCGTATCAATGCTCACCATGCCAAGGAAGGTCACGATCCCCGACAGTGATGCACGTGAGGTAGCCAATTCCATCGGCGGCCCTTCCACTATTAATGTCCAGCTCTAGGCCACTACCCATGAGCGGCCGGACAATGTTGCGAGCCATCAGCTTGAGCTCGTCGATGCGCTTCTCAAATCGTCGGAGATTGTCCCGGCTGTACATCTCAGGTGTCAATTTCAAGAACCGCTTGCACTCATCGTGGCCGAGATAAACCGACGAAGAGTCGCCGAGGGTGCGATATGTACGGCCAACCGTAGCCAATGGCGGAACAGCTGTCGGGAGGGCCAGCTGCTGTGAGTTTCCATTCCGACCGTCGCGGGAGCTCTGGATTCGCCGGTCTGGAGGCGGAGGACTGGTGTTGTCTGCCAGCCACTGGCGGAACAGGCTTACGGCTAACCAGTCGAGATAGTTATTTTGAGGTGTGACACGCTCGCCCCTCGCTGTCATCAAGCTCAGTCGAAAGAGACGGCCTTCGACTCGGCTGACCACCTCTTCTAGCTCGTCGACTTTGTCTTCGATTATGTCCAGGACAATGTCAGGAAGCGCAGCACGGAGGCTGCGTTCTCCTGCCGGCCATTGCCCGACCACATGAATCAAGGCCTCCTGAAAAATGACCCTGCTGCGGGCAAGGTAGCCAAGACGTAGATATGAGATGGGATACTTGGCAATCTGCTTCCATAGTCGCGACTGAAATTGAAGCAGATGGTGGTCAACCCTAGGGCCAACCACGGCCAATGCATCATATAGGTCTGCCAAGGTGATGAGAGATTTGCACTGAACGTAGGCATCCGCAATGTTGACGCCGTCGAGAATCGGGGAGTGGTTGTAGAAGATGCGGAAAAGGTTGTCGTAGTCGCGGAGGAGATCCTGGTCGACCTGCGAAAGCGGCTGACTTGCCGCCGACGTCGTCGAGCTCTGCACGAGGCTCAAATTGGCAACGGAGCGGAAAAAGTTGTGGTTCGAGTGCGCCGACGAGGAGTGGGAAGGGCCCGACGTCTTGCTCCGCGAGTATGACGAGGGCTGATCGCCGTTGACCGCGCTGCCAGAACCAAACAGAGACCCAGAGTTGCCCGCGCTCAGACCCTTTGAGCGATCATCGTCCTTTTGTACCAGCATTGGTATATCGCCATCCCCCGTGCCTGGATCCAATTCGTAGCGCCAACGTTTTCTTGGTGGTGTAGATGAAGTCGTCAAAGCCCGGCTGGAATGGTTGTACGAGTCGAATGAAGAGCCGTCGCTAATACGAGGCAAGTCATTGGAAGCACCATCCGAAACTGCTTTGGACCACTCGAGACTCGTGCTGGCCTCGAAGAAGCCGGAGCACTGAGTGAGGGTGTGACGATGCAGCAGATAACGGTTTTGGTGGCCACCAGCCTTGACTATGATCTCGACATCGCCCGAATTGTTGAAGACTGGGAACTCATTCTGGGAGATATAGGATGAACCGCCGACGTGGGACCTATTGTATCGCTTCGTGCGAGATAGTGAAGGACGCGAAACGACCGAGGAGGGGCCTCGCAGGGTGAGGGAGGACGCGGAATCGGGCTGCGAGACCATGAAGAAGGCGTATCGACTCTATCGAAACCAAAGCTGCGAGGGTCGGAGGAGGGACTGACGGCCTACGGCGGCTCGGACATGGAGGAACGCGCGCACTGGGGTCCCTTTAGGTGGACAAGCAGTAAGCGAAGATGCGACACAACGAGCGCGCAAGAAGCGCGCACAAGTGGCGGAGAGGTGTCGACCAAAGGATGGCAACTTTTGGGTGACGGGGAAGCTTGTTGACGGGCTTAACAGGTTCTGGGTGGTGATTTTGCGATAGCGGGCGCACAAGAGCAACACCAACGGAGGCGTGCGAGAGTGTGACAGAACCGAGCCGAGGTGTTGAGAACAAGAGAGCTCCAAGCTAAGAGCTACGAGACTGCTTGCACCAAGAAAAGGTGAAGAGGCGGGGAGCGGATGGGCGGCTGGGTTTGTTCGTGTCGCGATGCGCGGGGGAGGAGTGTGCGAGCGTGCGTGCGCCGGTGACAAGATGAGATAGCTGCGATGGCGGGAGCTAGAAATGCAGTGTGTGGTGATGGAGCAAGGCGACGGCGATGCCAAGGATATCTACGGCGGCGGCGAAGAGATTAGAAGAAAGACCCGAGTCTAGTCGAGCTGTACGGATAGATGTGTTGATTTGTTGCTGGTCGAATGGGGTGGTCTTGGGGTGGCCGGTGAGGTAATCAGCACGAGGACGACCGAGATGGAGAAATCAAGAAGCAAGACGAGCAGGCAAGAGTCTGAGACCCTGGTGAGCGGTGACTCGGAGGGAGGGGTCTTGAAAGCGACGACGCTACTTGATACGAATAAGGTAGCGAGCACCCCGTGATGCGGCAAGACTGAAGACCGTACCGAAGACTTCAAAAGATGGCAGCAGAGCTTAGATTAAGGTGCCTGGCCGAGTGCCGGTCCAGAGCAGGAAGAGAAAACAGCTGCATCCGTAGACGTGTGTCGGACGCGTAGAACCAAAGAGTGAAGGGTGAGCCAGGTTATTGCGACGGCGCCGGCGACGAGAAGTGGGACAGGGACAGGGTGAGCAAGCTCTGCGTTGTGCAGTTGCCAATAAGATGGCGAAGACAGGCGCAATGGAACCTGAAAGTGGGAGAGGAACCTGGAAGCGCTCAGAGAATCATTTCACAGAGGCAAAGAGGGTTTGAGGCACACATGAGTTTTTACTCCATCACCCAACCAAACGTGCGACAAGAACAAGGTACAACTACTGAGTAAGGTACTGTAAGGCAAGTAAAGTCGGGATGATGGGTGACAGTTGACAGTGCAAAGGTTGAGTCAATGTACCAAGGAGCAAGGAAGCGACAATCCGCCTTGATACTTGTAACGGAACCTACCTAAGAAAAAGAAGAAATCTTTCCCAGGCTTTCCCAGTCATCCTAGCAGTCACGCAGTGTGCTTGTCTTCATAGGACGACGATGAATTAAAAGTTGCCTCCCACCTCCCTCCGAGCCTACGCTTGCCGATACTGGATGCAGACCACTCGCCTCCTCTCACCGTCGCCCAACCATAGGTTGCTTGAGGATACCCTCATGAGGCGAACAGATGCAGGGGGCATCATCGTGCATGCTGGCAAGGCAGACTTCGCAGACTCGCACACTGGCTGGCACTGGGCCTCCCGTGCTTTCCCACATGCACCTCACCTTGGCCACCCCGGTGGCTGCCAGGTCACGACATTGTCTTTCTCGCAGGTTCGCAACTGCCTCTAAGGTAATGGAGCCAACCGCGAAGACATCGGCCAAGGTCAGGTGCAATGAACTGAGCTACCTTACCTTAGGACGTGACTAGATACCTAGTTGAAGGTGGGGAAAGAGGTCCGATCCTGAATCAATCGGAGCAGTCTCGTCACGTGAGACAGAACGGGAATCATCCTGGATTCCATTCCTGAGCTGTTCTTCCTTCCTTCCAGTCCTGGTCCTGCCAGCCAGCCTCCGGATTTTGACGGCTCGGCTGGATCCCGTGGTCAAGAGCTCGTGATTGGCCACAACCTTGGTAATAGCCGGGTACCCCGAACCACACTCAAGCTTGCATGTCGATCAAAGTATTCCGTCATCTCCTGTTCCTATCCACTCGAATTAACTCTTTCATTGGCCATGTCCACCTGCTCATTGCCCCACAGGTCCACAGCCAGCTCGCCCCAGTCTTCTCTTCTTCGTGTCCAATGAAAACTCAAGGTCTGTGGCCAATGGAACGACTTCAATGTGCGTTGCACCGTTGCCCGCTCGTCGCAACCCTCCGTGCGGCCCTCACAATGTCACGCAATGGAACTTCGGAGGCAGAAGAGGTTGACGGGCGCGCGAGCGACAAGGAACCCAGCTGCCCTCGATACACCAGTGATCCCACCAACCAAGCCGATCCATCCAGTGAGCGACCATCACTCTCTCACTCCTGGAGTCTGAGGTGGGTGCATCACTGATCACTCTGCCGACCCCATTTCTGTTCTGGCGCCCTGCAAGCTGCTGGATGTTGCCGTTCTTCCAACCCACCCGTGACCCTCGTTGGGCTCGTGAGTCGTGACCCCTTTCCCAGTCACTGCCAGTGTGCCAGTGTGCCCAGGGTCTCACCTCACCGTTCACGGTCTCAGTCACTCTCTCACCTGGGGGCGGAGGTCGATGCTCCCCTCTCGCTCACACAATGTGTCGAGCTGAGTCTCGTGCTCCAGCCGACAGCCAGCGTCGCTTGGTTTGCTTTGCCCATTGGCTCTCGCACTGGACCCCACTGGCGCTGACTGTCCAACCTGTCACACAAGACCGACGGAATTGGCACTTACACCCACATACCTGTCCGTCGTATCATCGCACACTAAGGTAGGTTAGCAGGCCCGTCCACCTTGTCTCGTCTCATCCAAGGCCACTCGCTTCAAGACTCTTGACTCGGGTTTGCATCGGCCATCGAGCGCTATCAAGGTTTTCTTGTCTTGCAAACCGTCCTTGGACGCCTCGGCAACGCTGCAAACCGCGTTCCGAGAAAAATCGCACTCTTAGGCCAAGACCAAAGAACAGCATATACTCGAGGTGAAGACGATGAACTCAACGCGTTGGGTTACGAGAAAATGGCACTTTGTTTGAATTTAGTTATATTTCCTCTTAAATTTTGAGGTTTGCTAGCATCGCATATTGGCCTCTCCTATGCGGTAGTTGAACGCGAAAAAAAGCAGAAAATAAATCAGACTACCTTAGTCTGTTGCGACCGGGTTCCATAAATGATGTACCCAGACTAAGACTTCCTTTTCTCCGCTGGCCGGCCTTCGTTTGCTTGCCATGATGATGTGATGTACCCTCAGTCAGGTTACTCAACCCATCCAACCCGACCCCACCAAGTGAACCTCTTAGAAAAAAGACCATTGCGCCCCCCAGACCTTGCCGTTTTGTAATGTGATTCCCAGGAAAATGAAATAAAACTGAACGCGCCGCTGTGTATCTCGTGGCCGCTTTACATGACCATATTGCTGTCAGCCTCCATCATGTTGGCTGGTTCCACTGCTGCGGGAGACTCAGTCGCAAGTAACGTCTCTTGACCGTCAAAAGTGGGAGGCGAGCACTGGAGGTTCCGCATTGCGCCCTCTGCGTCTCTGCTAACAAGGCGGCCTTGACGGAGGTCCTCTGCGAAGAGGAAGAAACCCTCCGCGGCCTCAACAAGGTATGATTGTAGCCCCTTGCTTTCCAGCCGGATAGTGGCAGAGGAAACAGGGTAGTGGTTCTCAATGAAGCGGGCCCAACCGCGTGCTGCGGCTTGAATGTGTTCGTCTTCGCTGATACGTCTCCAGCCAATGCCGAGGTGCAGGGTGAATTGATCGACGACTGGTTGCGCAGAGCTCTCCGATGAAAGAGTTGTGGATGTAGACGCCATAGCTGGCTGGGCGGCGAGGAGGCTTGGCATGACGGCCTGGGTGAGGCGTTGAGATTTGTTGCTGCGTAGAGATGGGCGTTCTTGCTGTTCGTGAAGACGTGTGATGGCCTCTTGTGTTTTGCGAACATCGTCTTGCGCAGCCTTTTCTTCGACCCAGGTGCCAGATTGACTGCCGGCATCCGCGACGTAGCTACCCTTCTTAATGAGAACCATTCCAGGGCCGTACTCCCACTCTTCCTCGGGTTCTTTGGGTGCGGTATGGGGTTCAGGCTCGTCGGTGACCAGGTTGGGGGCGGCCTCGTCGCGCGAACGTTTGCGACCAGCGACTCGGAGGCTTCCGAGAGGCATTGCGGGCGGCGCAGGGCAGCGTTTGAAGGCGGTGGGCTGGCCAAAAGGCGCGGCCTGGGGGGAGTATGATTCCATGCCGAAGCTCGCTTGATGGGCGGGTTGGGGAGGGAGAGCCATGACGGGCGAGGCAGCGGAGAAGGAGTGACCGAAAGGAGACATGGCTGTATTGTTAGACCTGTGTAAGGTAAGTTCAGACTTCAGATTCAAGTAACTCTTTTACGAATCACAATGTGTTAGTAGTTGAGCAAGACGTTGCTGCAAAGTCTAGTGGCTGGATGGTTGTGTTGTGTGGGAGTATCTGAGGACGGTGATTTGGCGAGGCGGTCGTGAAGGTTAACAAGATGGTGACGGCTGGATGATGGATGGCGGATGGTAATTGGTAGGATGAGATGGCTAGACCCGAGTGATGATGGGTTGGAGCAGGTTGGTTGAAAGAAGGAAGAAGCTGTTCAGGACCAGATGGGAGGCTGAGCAGTTAATGGAAGTGTGGGAAGGCGTCTGACGAGATGGCAGGAAGCAGGCATGTAAGAGTTCAGGTTTGGTAGGTGTAGCAGGAAGGAAGTTGAGGTTGAGGTTGTCCCAGAGACAAAGACTAGACGAGATGCGGCAGGAGAGTGGATGAACTGTGGTAAGGAAGAGGGAGGGAAGGCGCCGTCAGTAAGAGGTGGGCGAGAGCAGAAGGAGCTATCCTTTTGTATCCTACAAGGTCAATTGGAGAGACGGAAGGAAAACGCGAGCAACGGGTAAGAGGCAGGAAAGGGCCGACGAAAAGGTTTGGACCTGGAGGGTTGGATGCGTGGTAGACAAGGGGACGCCGCCTTCCATTTGCGAGCCGTCCTACCCCCGGTACCCCGGTCTCTCAGGAAGTGTCGCTGCGGAGAGACGCTCAGCTTAGGGCAATCTGTACGTACCCGTCGAGCCAAGTAAGGAAAGCACAGCTCCAGGATGGTAAGTGAGTTTGGGCGTATCACAGATCATCTTGAGCACGGGCGCACCATCTTGGCTCGTCTGAGAAGAGACTTCTACAATGCTTGCAGAACAGAGGCAAAGGCTGGTACTCATGTCTCCACCCATCAGCTCAGGTCTCCCCATAGAGTTAGCATCAGTCAGTCCCCGTTGTATCAGCAAACGAGGCACGCGAGGCAAACTTGTACCTTGTTCCCAACGCGCCCATGCCGAATCAGGGCTGGCTGGGACGCATGCTTGCCCGTAGTTGCTACAGCTGCAGCCCATCGTCGCATTGCGCGCCTCGCTACAATATATCCAGGGACTTTGCGATTACCCACGCTAAGTAAATGATGTGCCCCCGTTTTCTGAATATTCGCTCCTCGGTGGCCTCGATAGTTGAAAAATGGGGACGGCTTCCTCAACTACCATTAGGTCCTAGCCCAAAGTGTCTTCTGGCGATATTGCCATCCGAGTTCACGTCTAAAGTAGCAATGCAAGCATGGTAATAGTATGTAGTTGTGTGCCAAAGTAGATGGAGTCCGGCGTGCGCACTTCGTAGTCAATCCGCTGAGGCTCGTTAGAGCTAACATGATCGTACTTTGACTTCGTGAACGACACTTCATCCCGTCGCAGCCCTCTGTGCCTTGCCGTAGATGATTCCTGCTCGTGGGATGTTCGCGGTATCTTCTTTCCTGCAGCGGTAGGTCGCGGTTGGCATGTCACTCGGTAGTGACTTGGCCACTTCCCGCAGTCTCCGGGCTGTGCCTTCCTCCCGACTTGTTGTTGCGAGACTAGTAATTGTTAATGTCGGATGACATCCATCGCGTTGAACTAAAATATTGATTGTGCTCTCTCAAGCGGCTTTTGGGGAGTCTGATGGGTCATGATACGAACCGATCTGATCAATAATGTTGCGCCTAAGTCCTACCGTCATTCGCGTCACCCTCTCAGAGGTCAAGCAATATGAACGTCAGCGCAAGGCCTATGACCGCGGCGGTCGAGGTAAAAACAACGTTACGAGTCTGCAATCATCTATGAGTAGCCTACGTCGCGTTTCGCTGCCACTCCGCTTCTTGCCAGGCGATATTCTGCCCGACCAGGAGGGCACCGAGACACAACTCAGTCCAACCGACCTCAACCAGGCCAATGATGACGATAATATTATTGTCGAGGATAGTGACAAGATGGACACATCCTCCAGTAATGACGAAGATGAAGAAGATTATGGAAACGAGACGATGGAAGATACCTACGAGGACCTGATACCGGGCCTAAACACCCCGAGGTTGCCGCTCCCTCTGCCTTTCTCCGCGACAGCAAGAGTAACAACATCAACGAACCACCCTGGAACTGTAGGTCGTTGCTCAGAATTCTGGGATCATTTAGCGTTTTGGCTGACCTTGACCGCCTGACAGATCGTTCAGCTACCGAGGGGCTTGCGACAAAGCGAACCAAGACGCACTGCACGTTTCCCACCGGAACTACTATTGCCACGACCAACCGCTGTCGTCTCTGGATATAACAGTCCATCAGTGATGCAGACTTCGCGACAAGCACCAGTTCACACTGACGATGTGATGAACAACACATGGCAGCCACAGACGCCCAGCAATCTGACCGAAGTTGAGCACCACGGACGGCTGCAGCCGCCGTCTCCGCCGAGTATACCAGATCCTCCCACGAGGTCACCTCGACATGGTGAGAGAGAAAACATTCCCGTTGAAGGGTCCAGTCCCCCCGGGTCACCAGGCGGATCGGCGGCACTGTAGACTTGGAAGGGACAGGCCCAGACGGGATGACCATACGGCGTCTTACGGACCATCGCCAGGATGGACCAGACGAGGTACAGAACTTGGAAGAGTAGAAGAGGGAGGGGTGATGAGAGCACGGGGCTCCTTGCGTAGTCGCTCAAGGCTGTCTGTCAGATATCAATATTTACACCGGTAGGTTATCGTGTCGGTAGGGAGACCTTACTGGAGGGGTCAGTTGGACGAAAAAAGGTCGACCAGCATTATAGAGAAGAGAGTGTAATCCGACGAGCAGTACAACAAGGCGTTTGCAGTATAATTACATTAGCTGAAGCGGCTGCTCAAACATGATAGACATGAGATATTTCGAGACTCAACAGATCGTCTAAGCTAGTGACTTGATAGACCTTGTTAGACTTTGGACTAGAAGAACTTCCACCAATCCAAAAGATATCAAGATCACCTTCCAGACCCAAGAAAACCTAGACCGGTATTTCAGCTGGCCCAAGTGAGCGGCGATTCTTCAGCAAAACTATTCGACACGATCCAAACCTCGGGGCAGACTCGATCGACGATGAGGTAAGGGGGATACCCATGGTTGAATGAGCCCAGCTGCCACCTCTCTCTACAGTCACTGTTCCCTACCAAATAGTTCATAGTCAAGGAGGACGGGTATCACGGCGGCAGCCAGATTGGCGTAGAAAACTGCTCGGATCAGGGCATTGTTGTTGTTCGGACAAGGAGGTTAAGTTTCTCACGCGTCGCAAAGAAAGGATTCATTCAAAGTGCTTAGGAATAACATATCCCATGCCACACCGTGAGAGCAGACATGATCTACCCATGAGAAGTTCACATTTACTGCCCGCACAAAATGTCAGACAGGCGTTTGGTTTAACAGCCTTTGCCTCTAGAACCAGATGGGATTCAAGCTTCATCACAGAGTTGACACAGCAGAGTTGGTGGTTCATGATGTTATTGCACATCTAAAAAATACAGTCATCATCCTCGTCTCAGTCGTCCCAAATATGCCAACATGCTCCCAGTAGCGTTTCCTTAACATCTTCTGGGGCCCTGCGCAACCAATGCTTTTTGCTTCCCTATTTTGCCTGAGGTGAAAAAAATAAATAAACCAAAAAAAGAAAGAAATAATCAAACGGTTAAAAACCGACCGCTGCCGGCCAAAGCTCCTCGCAATGCATCGGGAAATTTTCCAGGCCGAGCCATATAAATGCCACAAAAACTCCACTTCAAAATGTCCTGAACCTATGTCTATCATTTCTCTTTTGCTTCCCCAGTAATGCATGTATGATAATGTTGTTCCGCCAGGTGATTTGTAATGTGATGCCAGAATACAAAGTCGAAGTGGGAATGCTGGGCAAACGCCGAGAAGGGTGGAGAGGAAATTGGTATCATGGCTTTGCTTTAAGCAAAAAAAACAAACGAAAAAAAGAAACAGAAATACGAAAATGAGAAAAAGGAGGTAAGATGCTAGCTCGAGGTGCTGCTAGCTCGGCGCACTTCAATGTTGATGTCCTTCGGTGAACCTCCCATGCTGAAGACTCGGTGCAAGAGGCTACGCTTCGTCATGCTCGTCCGTCGGTACTGGTAATCAGCGTCGCACGAGTACGGCAAGACTGGGCTGCTCTGCTGGCTTTGCCGCTCAAGCTCGGCATCCCATCCATAGAGATCCTCATCAGGTGTGGCATGGCAATATGATGCAGGCTCGTCGTGAGGCATTGCAACAGCCTCATCCTCTGGTGGAGGATGAACGTTGATGCCCAGCAGGTTCGAGAAATCCGTAAACCGACAATCGATTGGCGGAGATGCAGGTAAAGGCAGCTCGCTTGCGTCGATTTCCTTGGCGGCCAACTCGTCGGTAACCTCTCTGCCCGTCGTTTCGCCGGAATCTTCTGGTACAGCAGGAGGTATGGCTGGAGTGGACGCCGCGGGAGAGATAATTCCCATGTTGTGAACAGGGATGGGTTTCAACTTGGTGTCTTCAGATATCTCCGTCGTGATCCTCAGAGGAGCGGGAGTGTTGGTTCGCGATCGAACACGAATAGGGCGTCGTACCATCCAAGGTCGTTGGTTGTGATATGCGCTGAATTCCTTTGCGGCCATGCCACCTTTACATCCACCATTGCTGATGTGTTGTGGACCAGCGAAAGCAACCTTCTTAATTTCACTGCTGGCCTCTGACGCCGCGAGAGGTAGTCGTTTGCCTGGGTGAGGCTCCTCCCACGGGTTAAAAAGGTGACGGACACGTGAGAAGCCGTCCAGAGGGAGGTGAGAAGATGATGTCGCTGGTGTGGTGGATGTAGTTGATGGCATGACCTCTGGTTCCTATAAAGGGTTGCTCTGGCTGGCTTCAGCCATGGTGACGTCCCCATCGTTGACTGGAGCAGATGACGTCGGGTTGTTTCGTCGGTTAGGGCGTGATTTGCGATGGAGACCCAGCTTGGCGCCAACCTTCTTCCACCCGTTGTTGTGTGCGGTCAATGCTCGCTGAAGTCCACCTGGAGAAGTGCTGAAAGTCCAGTCTGAAGTGGGCGGAGTAGTGGGAGGAGTCATTGGCTCAGTGCCAGGAGAAACGGCACTTCCACTGTCGTCTGTCAACCCCTCGCGTTCATTGGGTTCGTCCGACGCAGAAGCCGATCGACTTGTGGCACCACTGCGACCTAGAGTCAGCTGGGGTAGGAACTTGGGAGACTTCACGGGCTCGTCTGACCTAGCCCCGGCACCCTCAGCCCGAAGGCGCAGGCGACCAGGTCGCCCTTCGTCCTCCGCCACACGGCAATCGCCATGGCCCGGCTGGACAGACTCGATGAAAGGAACAAGTACAGAATCGTTCATGAGCTCGTAGACAATTCTGACGGCGTCGTTGAGTTCGCTTGGAGGAGGAGGGGCTGAGGAGCAGTCCAGGTTCGTGAGATGATTCCGCACAGGTGAAGGAAGGTTCACCTCCCGCGGTGCGTATGGAATGATGTATGCTTGCATAAGCTTCTCCCACAATGAGCAGACATACTCTTTACCATCGCCATTCCATTCCTGGTTGGTGATGATCTGCTCGTATGCCTTGCGGTATCTGTCGGCGTCCATAGTGAATTCCAGGGTTTCCAGGCAATGGTTCTGAGAAAGGTATGCCATAAAGGCTGCCAATGTCCATGGCGGCGTTGAGGTATTAGAGAGAATCTCCGAGAGAGTGGGTGGTGTCAAGATGACGGCGCCGGGCATCAAGGCCCCGCTGGTGGGTCTCGACCTCGACATGATCGTGGTATATTCCCAGGCCAGGACAGCTGAAGCCGGACTGGGTGGTGGCAGTTCCCTCTCGGGCGATGGTGAAGGACTCAGGTAGATGGGGGAGTGTTTTCTTATCCGGGACCTCTTCATTTCCACGCCAAGTTCTTGTGCAGAAGAGATTGTAGTTGCCAAAAGTCGCTGATCGGAAAGATTGCAGCAGACTGGTGTCGGAGGGCAGTCTTGTTTGCCTAGAGTTGTATCGACGACCCCATAGAAGGCGTTTCTTGTCGCAGGTGACTATCGGGAGTGTGGTCTTCCTTCGTTTTGAGACGATTCGAGTCGTCTGCCACAGAGCGTCTTCCTTGGCGGTAAGTGTCGATGAAGTGACCGATCCTAGATCTCGTTGCACAAATTGGTAGAGCGGGTTGAGAAACGCTAGTCGTGGGTCGAGAAAGAATTATCGATGTGGTGTAAAATGCTTGTTGTTGTTGTGTTGAGTCCAAAAGAGCGAGCACAGCTTACGTCGTGGAGAGCTGTTGTGCTGAAAGGGACGGGGCCCACGGGAGGTATATAGCCCAGAGCGTTGTAGATAAGGGCGCTACGTTCAGGCGGGCTTTGGGAAGAGGCTTGCACTAAGACAAGATTGGAGGCGCTAGAAGTGTCTTGGTGACGGGAATGGGATTGACTCGTCGCAATCGGCAATGAGTGTGCAAGATGCTGCTTGCAGAATGTCGCAGACGACAGTCAGTTAACAGTAAGAGTGCAGCGAAGCCCCAAAGTAGACCAGTGGTAGTGTGTTCTGAGCGAATGTATGCGGAATGCAGTCAAGCCACACGTTCGACGGTTGTCCAATACGGTCAAGGATACGATGCGGTACAAACGGGTTCCTTTGGCTCGTGGCTTTGGCTTTGGCGACGTGACGTCTTTGCAGGTTCGAATTCGGGGAGTGGATGCTGATCGAAGGAAATAAACGATACGGGGCGTAGCGTGGTGATTGAATTCGTCGATGCTGTGGGAGAGGTCTCTCGAAGTTGGAATTTGGTAGGACAAGGGAACTAGCTATGAGAGAGAACGTGGTAGCGAGTTGGTGACCCGTGTCGGAATAGCGGTTGTGTTGTGTTGTGTTGTGTTGTGTTGTGTTGTGTTGTGTTGTGTTGTGTGGCGGGCACGAAGAGTGAAGTCGGCGACGATGTTCGTACGGCGGCCGGCGATTGATGTCGTGCAGCGGTATGGATCTCTCTTCTGGCTTTGAGGGGATATCAAGGCGAAGTTGACGGATGGTGTCGAGGAAATGATCCGCAGTGTATCGTGAGAGAGTGGAAGAAGCAGGAAGTAGGCGAAGGAAAAGGGACTAGTGAGAATGTCTGTCTCGAGAGAATCGGGAGTGTTTGAGAAGGAGAGGGAAGGTGAAGCATTAACGGTAGGATTGATGGGGATGGGTAAGAGGAGAGGACATGAGATAGCTAAAAAGCGTCTGGTATCCATCCAGTCAGAACAAGTACATGGGCCAAGTATCTTTTTGGACGGCGGCCGTACCGTATCATGCCTATGGTAGGCGAGGAGGCGAGGCAAGGAATGGTAGAGTAAGGTCAGGTTAGGTAGGTACGGGGCCCGCAAGAGGGAATGCTCCGCACTGAATTAGCGCGTCGAGGGCCATGTGCCACAAGTTCCAGAAGTCTTGGGTTGCGAGCAGTATCCGTACGTACTTGGACGACAATGCCCCTACTAGACAACACCCAACGAGGCATGGCAACGAGTAGCAGTACCTTCATTCCCGAGGTCCTTGGTTCCCACTGAGCCACGGTGCCACCCCTCAGCGAGAAGAAGGGGGAGCGCCTGCGCACCTCAAATCAGATCCATCCTTCCATCACCATGCTGCCCAGGCTCCAGGGCCATTGCCCCATCCACCAGACCAGCACCAGGAGGGTCCCAGTCCATTCAATCGCTCTTGCCTGTTGGAGGGAGACCCGGACGAGGCGCTGGACGGGGCAAAGGCCCCAGGATGTGTGCGGGCTTTCGAGCAGGGGAGGCCTGCCAGCGGAAGGGGAGTTTGCCAGGATGTGGGAACAAGTCCATCACGCTAAAGACGGTACGAAGAAAGGACCACGAATAAGGTATCGGCCATAGCGAAGACACGTTGTGTTGGTACTTGACTAAGGTCATCCACTCGGGTATCACCGCCGAAGGGAAGAAAAAAAGAAGCACCGACCAACCCACCCTGGACGGAATTGCCTATGGCTCATTGAACAGTACGCTGTGTGCTTTGCAGGGTTCATTGGGCAAAGGAGACAAGACGAGGCAGGAGGCACATCATTGCCCGGAAAGAGAAGGCAAGAAGACAACCGGTGGCCAATGGAAGCCAAGCGATGGAATATGCGCATTGTGTTGCTTCTAAACTTCCATGTCGCTCCTAGACCAGTCTTCAAAAGTAAACGGCGAACAAGCTTCAATGTGCACGCGATACCTACACAATCGTGACACAAATAGAGAGAGGTTTGGGTATTCTACAGATACAGCTACACAAAGACACGCTGAAGCTACACCAACACCGCGGGCGGGTACCGGTGGAGGCATGTGGTGACTAACAGCCCGGAAGTGACGCGTTGCTCTTGCGACGACACCGTGGCACAGAGGCGGGGAGTATTTGCTGCGGTTGGGCTGTAGCCTGTGGTAACGTGGTTGCGTGTAGGAAAAAAGCTCCAGAGCTCCTCTCCAGAAGTACAAAGAGTCCAAATGGAAGCCTGCCATAGACGGGACTTTCGGCTTGCTAAGGAAGCCGAGTACCCTTCCGAGACTGGAGTCGAGGCAGGCCGGAAGAGCCAGAGCATCCTATCGTAGCCGAGAGACGATGGGTTAGGGACTTGAGTGGTCTTCTTTGCCCCGTCCTTCTGTGGAGTCGTATTGTCGTAAAGGGGGGTTCGGTATTATGGTCACAGTGGCCTTGACCCCCCGGTTCCCCCCCCTTTCTCCTTCGTTTTCTTCTTGTTCTTCTTCTTCTCTTCAGGAGCTTCAGCTGGAGGGCACGGAGGGTTGGCTTAGCAATCGGCAGGGGGGCGGGGAGGTGACAGTCTGAGCAACAATTGGAAAGTGACCTTGACCTGACAGGAATGATGCACAACAGCGGCAGAAGAAAGGCGGGAAGACGAAATGGAAGACGGATGGAAGACGGGATGGAAAGGTGACGGAAGGGAGGGGGGAAGTTGGGGGACAAGCCATGGTGAACTCTGAAGGAAAAGGGGTGGGACAAGCCGTGATCAACTGAGCCCGGCCAGATTGGTGTGAGTGGGGCCTCTCCGCCCTAGAGTGCGCTAGAAGGCTTCGAAAAGGGGTCCGAGTGACCCAATGATGGCACTGCATGGGCTGATTGTACCCGTTTAGGGAAAGTCGGTGGAAAAGAAGAGACACCCAAATGGAAGGCATATGGAACAATTAGATCAAGGGAAGGAGACAGGGATCATCCTTAGGTAAGCGTGTGAGGGTACATACTCTTCGTACCTACCTCTATCCGTACGGTCTACGGAGTACCTGCCTACCTAGACAAGAGCTGATAGGCAATAGGCTGGGCTGGCCCTGACTGAACGGGATGAGAGTGAGGGATAACGGGCGTGACGGGATCGAAAGGAGCGGGTCGCGGGATTACGGTGGTCTAGGCTAGGTCTTTTTTTCTCTTCTTCTCTTCTTCCCCGTCGAAAGTTGTAGCTACAGCTTTACAGTTTTCCATGCTCGTTTTTTCTCGCAGCACATGGTATTTCACGCAAAATGTACGGAGCACCCGTATTTTTTTTTTTTGTTTTTTTTTTTTTGCAAATATTCTCTCAACTGTAAGCCTCGGCAGGGTAGACACGGCTGTGGTCTACCAGGGACTTGCTGCCCATTTTGCGTTTGCACTTCTGGGCCTGGACCACCAAGATACGACCGTTCGGCTTCATCATCTTGGTTCCATTGCCCGTTTTTTACGGAGTACGGAGCCAAGAACTGGGGGTTACGTCGGCTTCGCCTATCCCTCCAGTTCAACCGTAGTCTCAGTCTGTAGGTCTCCCGAGTCCCCCCGGTCATCTCGCCATTTCGCGCTTATTCCCTCGTCCATTGACTCCATTGGCCTCGAGGAAGAAATGAAGCAGACCAGACCCGTCACCGTCATCGTGATCGCGGTGCCGGCTATCCTTTTCACCGGCTTGGCCCCATGGCCGTTTCCCCCGTTTCATCCCATCAACATCCAATCACTCGACGCGCTTGTTGGCCATCCACAGTTGACCCCTTCCTCCGTCCCATCTCGTGCCCCATTTCATCCGCTGGTCGCTCCATCAGTCCATCAGCTTTCGATAGGCGTCGGGCGCCGGCGCGGGTCTGACTATCTGACACCTTTGCTGGGAGCCCTCGACTCTGTCGTCTGTATCCGTACAACGCATGCCAATGGCGTAATTTGATGTCACGGATTCCACCAGAGGTGCTGGACAAGACATTCGTTGCCATATCTCCATCTCCAAAAGCAACATGTGGGACAGGGCCCGGTTTATACAATCAATGACCAGCCCAGCATAGTATCCGCACCTGGCCTCTTTTGGGACTTACTCTGAACTCAGGCTAATACTCTAGAGATACGGATACCTACCTACCTTGGAGATATGATATCAGCAACCCTCGAACCTCATACTTATTAACCCTTCACAGCCTCACCATCCGGATACACACTGACACCTCAAAATACATGCTCTTACAAGTGAAAGACGAACTCATTCCTACTAACAGGCTAACACCATCCGGACCTTACTCTACAAAGTACACAGCACACCGTAGGGGGTTATCCGTGCACGCAGTACTCACACCCTCGCTCTCTCGCGCTCACAACTCATCTTTGGGCTATGGCGCCTTTCATTTCCAATAGATCCCTTGCTATTTCGGCCATCTCTCCGTCTCACCGTCCGTTTCGCTTCCCAGTTAGCCTCGGTGGCCGCCATGATTCAATCAGTTGCAGTCGCGCGCAGTATTTCTCTCTCAGACTCTCTAGCCGGCTCCGCAAAAAGTACTAAATGCCAGGAACTCCCTAGCTCGCCGCTCGTGCGAGCTTACAGAGCTCTTACAGAGCAAATGTGAGACTCAGAGTAAGAGAGAAAAAGGGAGCGAGCGCTGCCGTTACCGTTGCCGCCGCCGCCACGCCGCGCCACGCCACTCGCGGCTCGCACCTCCTTGCAGTTTTCACGTTCCATGGACCCATGGGTGACAGAGCAGTGGAAAGCGAATTCGCGTTCTCTCAGAGTTCCATGAACCCATTCCATCGACTAACCCCGAGGTCCCGAACCACAGCAGACCTTCTCCTGTTCACCTTCTGTCGCACGACCGTATCTAGGTAGTATCTGCGCGACTGCGTCACTGCGCTCGACCCGCCAGCGTAGAAAATAGAACATCCGACCAGCGGCGGCCGACTGCTCATGTACGGATGGGTACACGATGGTTGAGGTGAAGCAACGCCAACACCGGCCGCGTCTCTGCATCGGTACGCTGTGGATCATGACAGTGGTCATGAACGGGCCGAGGCCATCTTCAAGATGCCGTGTCCAATGTTTCCTTCTTCATGATCCATCTCACTGGAAATCTTCTTTCCCCAGCCGATCTTGGGCTTGGCGTAGTTTCTTCCACATTCATGTGCTCCACGCCTTGTCGTGATTAATTCCTTCGAATCAAGCACAAGCAAACAATGCCCCTTTCTACTCTCATTATCATAGTTCCCACTTGAGCGGCTGCTTTCTCTCTTTCCACCTTCCCCAGATCTAGGTAGGCATCTAGGCGGCGCTCATAACACAGAATCTTCGGTACGGAGTACACGTGTAGTGACACACTAGACGAAGCTGGCTGGGAGCCTTGTCCGCCGAGGTAAGAATGTGTGGGTGTCTAATTACATCAACATCCACCGGCCACCAATCCCTTCCCCGTCCCAAGATTCAAGACTCCCAGGTCCAAAAGATTGGCGCGGTGGACCAGCAATGGGGGGGGGGAAGATGTCATGCTATGGCTCGAATGTCTGATCAACATGCGTGCTAGTAGTATGCGGCATTGGACTTTCCGATTGTGGAATAACGCCATGCGATGATGGTACGGGTGCGCCATTCAGACGAGCCAGAAGCAAGACCCTCCCCCTCCTCGACACCGTCGTCACGTCTCACAATTTTTTTTTTTACTCACGGGGAGACGGAGAGGTGTGTGGTGGGTTCCTACCGTTCGGCAATGGAAGAATCCACGAGGAGGAGAGGGAAGAAGAAAAGGGTGAGACGTGGGTGACGCGATGTGCCGCAGTCTTACATATGCCGTCATACTGTTCCTTCAGGACAATGCCAAATAGACGCACGGGTACGGTACACCGCGCCTACTGGTCTTTGAACTCTCTCCCTCTCATTGAATGCATCTCATACTTATCCTCTTGGAACTGCTAATGTGATGTTAAAAAAAGGGAGGTGAGTACAGGCTGTTCAGAAACTTTCAGTATCTTTTACGGATATTGCATAGCTAAACATCCGATCTGCCGCGTTATGATGAATCCCCGGAAGATTAACCCAAGCGGGCCCCATCCCCCAATGACTTCCCAGCCCGCCCGCCCCCATGTAGTATATCCGTACTGTACAATTCGTCCAGCACCCGTCCACGGTCCAGCGAGATTGGTCACCAGCTTTCCGAAAGCAGAAAGTGACATTCATAGTCCTTTCAGAAGGGGGGAGGGGTGTCAGGGTGAGTAACGGCAGAGTTAATGCAAGGGTGTGGTTCTGGCGAGGAAGGGTCTCTGCATCCCGCACCCTTGATTTAATTCGATTCGATCCTAGTGAACCAGTCGTGCCAGTCTCTCCCTATCCGTATAGATTTGATGTGCCGCCACGTTGAGGGCTCTGATAGGTCTGGATACCTCATAGTGATGTTCGCGCCTACATGAAATTACCGCTTGACGTTGCGCCGCCGCCGCCGAATGAGCGATGCAATATATCGTCAGCTAACTCTCCTTATACAACGCCGCGGGGGCAAAGCTCTTAAGAGAGTGCTTGAACTCGGAATGAGATCGTCTGCGATTGATCACAAAGTTGAGATCGGGGGGAACCAAAAACAATGCAAGCAAGCAAGCAAGCCCCTCGTTTCCGTTCGTTCCCACGCTTGGGTTCTGACATCTGAGACGGACGGCACACACCACTCTCACACACACACTGGTTCGGCAGTTGAGCAAGTGTGGCATTTTTAACCACCCAAGAGCCAAAAAAAAAAGTACGATGGCAAATATGCAAAATGCTGCCCGCGATGGCGACGAAGATCGCGACGGGCGTTGGGGGATGGGTGATATTGGGCAGAAGTAAGACGTATGACACTTCAGGACAGTTAGCAGAACTCTTTACGGAGTTCAGGGATGAGATGCGACGAGTGATTCGCGATTGAGAGCTGGACGATCCGCCCCGATCGAAGGTGTGCCCGGCGACTGAGATAATTCGGATGGGAAGTCAAGGCGTCTGCGCGGTGAGGTAAGATGGGGCAGAACATGCATTCAGCAAATGTCTCTTTCTTCTATTTTCGTTTTTGTTTGTTCTTCACGTCGTCCCGTCTGGTCCCCCCCTCATATGACCTCATCCTCACCCCCAACGGAAACCTTCTAGAAAGGTGCGTACGCAGTACCTCCAGGTATGTTTCCCCCCCCCCCCCCTCTCCGCCGGATGTCAATCCGACAACTTAACCTCTAGAGTCTGGACCTGGAAAGAAGAGATGGTAATGAACTCATTGTCGCCGGATCATCAGACGAGCGAGAGCCCCTCAGATCATTTTGTCTGCAGGTTGAACTAATTCAATTACCAAGACTACGTAGAGTGCGGTTCATGTGGGCTACGGGATAACCAGTCCGGCTTAGCACAACCCTTGGCCGCCCCCTCCCTCATCCACCATCCCCCGTCCGCCTCTGCCGCCGCAAGCCGACTCGTTCCCCCCCCCCCCCCCCCACCCGCGGCGCCCCATCCGCTTAACCATGCTTCGGGCTCGCACTACCTCGAAAGTTTACGTACACATATGTCTTTTGGTTAAGGTTGCGGTAAAGTCCGGCGGCTGCCGAGCCAAGATATCGAGGGGTGGTTGAACAAAAGAAACATCAAGCAATGTTGAGGGAGCGAAAACGAATGGGATAAAGCTAACAAACGCAGAGACAGAGAGAGAGAGAGAGAGGAAAAGGATGTGTTGTGCGGGATGCCGACGTGTCTCTGCCATACTGGGGGCGTTCACTGGTTCAGGCTACGTCTGCTCGGGAATAATAACACATGGCGCAGGAAGAGTTGTTTTGTTCCCGAAGTTGTGTGGCGTGCGTGGGTTGTCGGTTGCTGGTTGCAATCAAAGAAGGTTACGCAACTCTTGACGGATAGGTATGTGTGGCTGAAGGCAAGGCTCGATAGTATCGATCTGGGGCTTAAAGTACCTAACCTTCCGCCATCCACACTTTCATCAACGCAAATGCAGAATGCAGATATGGCCCCCGTTCCGTTCGTTGAGAGCAGCCGGCATGTAGGCTAGTGAATGTTGTGGGTGCAGGCTTCGTGTGGCATCTGCTTTGATGCCCGTGATACTAATACAACCTAGATGTCACGGAGCGGGCTTTGGTGCCCGCTCACCCGCCTCGACTTGGCTTTCAAATGTCTCAACGTGCCGGTTCCGACTTGAGCTCAACGGCATGCGTGGCTTGATAATCTGAAAAAGAAAACCAATGAATTCTTCCCCCATAGCTTGGCTTTCACGGAATTCCCCAGCGTGCCAGGGAAGTACTCGTGTAATTCGGGGTGCGTGGTGAGATACAGTCGGAACCGTTGCCCTGATCGTACATCTAAAGTATTCACATAAGGGAGGTTCTACGGGCATCCGTACGGCATGCCCGGTTGGGGCCTGGTGTTTGACGAAGGAGTCGTTGGCCGTTGTGCCGTGCTACCTTACGCAACGCGTGCTGGGAGGGTTACAGTTACAGCCGTTCCGGATGCGAAAAGGAGTAAAAGGCGTGGCGGCCGATCCGATGCGACGATGCGGGATACATAAGACGGGAAGGATGAGAGAGAGACATCGTGACAGGCCCTAGGAATTCAGGTTTCCTTCTTTCTCCCTTGATCCCCCTCGCCCCCTTGAACGTGGTTGGTTGCCAGGCGTGCCAGGCGTGCCAGGTTGCTGAGGGTGACTGGTGACTGGGTGACTGCAAGGTTGGGGGTTTATCAACTGGCTCTCCTCGCCAAGGCATGGTCTCAGACATTCGAACAATCAAACATTGAGACCGTTTCTCACGATTCTTCCGTCTCCGGCGATGGCTCAGTTCCACCTGATTCAAGATGGACTGCTTTGGTTGGTTTGCCTGACTCCGGCGGTCGATCATGTTGTCTCAGGATGACGACGGCATCTGGTGTCGTGGAATTTGTACGAAGTAGATAGCCATTCCAATATCGATATCGGAGTATTCCTGGACAGTGATTAATGAAGCACCCAGTAGCCGGCTGATTATCAAACAATCCTATCGATACTTTAATCATGCATCATTCATTCACTCCAGTCCACTGTAACCTTCAGAGTGCGAGCTGTGTGGTGACTAAACTTATCAGTGTTCGAGGCCTGCGTCCGAATTTGGCCTAACTGAGTGCACGTGCAGATCCGGGGTCCTGACAATTGAGTCTCCGAGGCAAGGAAGCTCTGCCGACCGTTTGCGACGAGGCTTGCCACCGTCGGACGGTAACGCTTTGGAGCCGTCCGACTACACATACCCAGCTATCCCACAGGCGAACTGAACTAAAAGCGCTGCAAAAGGTACTATGTGGCAACGGCAGGAATAAGCTTGACGGGCCACAGAATGTGGCTATAAGTGGCTTACCTTTGGGATGCTCGTTACGGCCGCCAACGCAGTCTTGGCAAGTCAAAACAGCCTGAGTCGAACCCAATTATCCACCTCTAAGCGAAGAAGGGCGATCACGATTGCTAACATTGTCGCTGACCTGGACGCTGATGCTGACGCTCGGGACGATGAAGCAAAGCGCTGCAGAAGTTTTCCGATTGCTGCCTTCCACGCATTTCCTAGGCTTCCATGCATATGCCAGCCTCATGTCGTTGTTGCGGATGGGCCTGTAAGCTGTTGGTTGACGTCGGCCCAATTTCCAGAACATTTCTCCCGCTTCTTCGCGACAGGGATGTCTACGTGACTCCGTACCGCGCCGTTGAAATGAAAGAAAACATCAACGAGCTTGTTGAACGCTATTCGCACGAGTACGGACGTAGACGGATTGGCAAGCTTCGTTTTCCGAAAGGATGGGGTCAATCCCTCCTCTCTTTCTCTCTCTTTCGCAAACAGCCAGATTGTCTCACGGCATGTGGCCGTACTGTAGATTGCCATGAGGGAATTAGCTGGGGCTACCGCTATGTTGCGTGGGCCGTGGGCGCCGGGACGGTGGTCGGGCTGCGTGGCACAAGTGTCCTTGTGGCCCAGTCCAACGGCGATTCCGTTGCTGGGGCCTCCATGTTGGTGAAAAGTCACCAAATGTCCGCACTTTGGGCCTTTTCTGCCCCCTCGTCATTCCGTTTCGCCCTCTTGTTCGTGCGTGGAGAGATACAGATCAGGGCATGACGATAACTTTCCGGATCGATTGAATTCCCAGAGCTTTGCGTGTATCACCTCCATGTCGCATGAATGGGAAGACATCATGTCAACCAACAGCTATTACTCCGTAGCTGCTACCAAGCTCTTCCCCGGGATGATCAGCAAACACTGTTTAGAGGGGCTGGAGCCTGGAGAATACCGTGACAACCCCGAGAGCGGGCCAAGGATGACGGATGGAATAAATCTAGAACGAAGAGGGTCAGGGAGGGCCCGGAAGACGATGACACGGGTCAGCGGAGGTAACACGGGGAGAAGGTTGTGAGTGAGCAGTAAACGCAATGCTCATGCAGAATGACACATCCAAAAACCTAACTATTGGAATGCGAATAGTTGAGACTTGTTTTTTTCCACATCTCGGATGTGGGGGGGGGGGGGAGGGGGGTGAGGTGGAAAAATCAACAAAGGGTCGCGTCAGAGATGCTATGTCGTTATACTCGTAAATATAGGGATGTGCGGCGAAGCTTCCTGCAAAAATTCTATGCACGCAGGCGGCAGGTGGCAGCACGCACACCTTCCTACACAAGAAGTAGTCGTGACCGTGCCCTTTGAAGAATCGAATAGGAAAGAGCGCCACGGATACGATACCTTCCTTCCATCCTAGCTTGACGGTACCTTGCGTGCTTACCTCACTCAGTCTTCACCTCATGTAAGAGCCCTCAGGTCTACTTGCCTAAGCTCTCTTAGTGAGCCTCAGGTAGGAATCCGCAAAGTACGTTGAGGAGGCACGCAAGCACGGATGGCACTTGTTTTCTGCTTCTTTTGCAAACAGCAGACTCCAGAGACATTTCCATCCGACAACTGCCCACGCACCACGCCACCGATCCATAGCAATCTGCAGCCAAAATCTACCTTACGCCCTTTACGGTTCACCAGTAGGGATTCGTTGTCGCCCAAGCGCCCTATCGACCGCCTTGCTCCCGAGAATATGAAAGCAGGTCTGGGCTGTCTGCACGTCTGACTGTGTTCCCTGCCAAAAAGCCCGAAGCGGAATGGACGTGGAAGCTTCACGGAAGAGAGAGAAGCCATTGTGGCAAAATGCTTGCTTCTAGAATCCTTCCCTTTCCGTCTTAGCAACCTTCCAATCTCCGTTGCTGGCTGGTCCCGAGTCCCGACCATCAATTGGATCCTGATCCTTCTTCCGCCCCAAAATCTCCGTCCGTGGGAGCGCCAACAAACGCACGCGGTATCCTCATGCTTCCTGGCAGGCACCGGGGTGGAACCTCCTTCAACCTCCTCTGCTTGGTGACTGGTCGGCGGCTGCGGGTGGAACGCAGCACTGAAGTCTGACACTGACGCGCTCGCGGCGATGCAGTGGCAGCATCCAACGAACGACGTCCGACATGGGTTATCTTGTTCAAACTTCGCTGGAGCCCCAGGAGACCACGGAGACCTAGCCCAGGCCCCAACTTGCAAGTCACGTACTCGCTCTCCAAATCCTGGATGCTTGTCTCCGAATGGAGGCTGGAGCAATCAGCCAATTGAACCCGTGTCGGGGACTTGGTTGGATATGGAGGGGACAAGGAACACATGCTTGATGGAAGGCTGTTCTTTTTCATTCTCAACACCACAACCACGAAACCATCTGATCCCGGACCATGCCTGCCACATGCACCTTGGCCCTTTTACCTGGCGTTTACCACCTGGAGCTTGGAACAAGACATTGTATACATTGGTATGTGAGGATCCCTTGGGAGTCAGCCCAGTTCCACGCTCCAGCAGCGTGTCGCATTGCGGTGTACGAATACAACAGCTGAATGGTCCAAGGTACGATGCAGGGACCCAACGACGCAAAAAAAGATCTCCGTAGCGCCGACGGCGTCGCCGGTACCCCGAATCGCACCGCAGAGACGGTCTTTACTTGTCGTGGACTCGTGTCTATCCCACCCGACATCCGCTTCAATGAATACGTCCGGCCTCAACTGCCCCAATCTCCCAGCCCTCGTAACTTCGTAGGACGGTAGGAAGACCGAAGGTGCCCATGATACGCTCTTACTTTCGCACCGAATGCGATTCAAACTCCAACCCCAGGACGACGGGACCGGGGAGGCTACATGCCCAGGCGAACCCGGCCGGCCGACCCAACAAATAGGTTACCGTCTCCGAGTCGCGCCGCGCCGCCGATTCAAGTATCGCAGCGGCGTTGAGCGCTACACGGCCAACATCCGTTGTTGGGATTGTTGGGAGGAAACCCGATGGCTACCAAACCCTCGAGTGCAATCTCAACATACATCCATCTTCCTTTTTGACATCTTAGGATCTGTTCGTTGATATTCTCACTTGCTGGGTCTTCATGGGTCTGTGTTGGTCTCGTTTTACTCAAGCAGTGCTTTCTGTGGACCTCGACTGACCCTTGACACACACACACACACACACACACACACACACACACACACACTCACACACACTCACACACACACACACACGCTCTCTCTTCCTCCGAACCACCACGGATACAAATTTGCCCACAATCTCTTGGCCGCATTGACATCAAATCTAGAAACACCAGCCCGGCGACGAGTCTCCTAGTCCCCACAACTAGCGTAAGGTGGGATGGCCATCTACACAGGGACTGGATCTTGAGCGTCTGAGCAGTCTTCGGCTATCGTTTCGTGCCAGCGTTTGAAGCTGTCGCTGGCAGAGAATACGAACACCGTGAATGACTTCGTCGATGGTGCGATCTCATGGCCAACCAGTGGATAGCATCGCTTCTTTCTTGCTAGCTGTATTCACTAGGCCGCTCCCTGGCCAATTTCTAATCTTCCTTCGGATTGCTTGTTCCGCACAACGTGCCCCAATTCCGCTCTTGAGGCAAGCTGCTATCCATACCTACATGGAGGGACATGACTCTCGACGGCCCGCTCACGTTCCATGTCCTAATACAGACACGCAGAGCACAACTAAACTGATACTGGACCCTGTTCTCGTGCCCGGGTCTGTACTGTCAACGATCGGCAGGAACTTTAAGTCGATCTCCCTATCCCCAGGCTCCGCCGCCCGTCCCAGATCCCGCGGAAGAGAAAGAAAGGATGAGAATACTCGGATTGCATGTTGCTCGGACACGTGTAGTACTTGGTAGACACACGCGGAGTGGCAGAAGAGACGAGCATAAACTCTTGGCACTCGATCGCTGATTCCTGGCAGCGAATTGACCGGTTTGCTCCTCTACCTACCCGCCTCCATTTTCATTCCAGCTCCTCCACTCTGGTTTGGCGGGCAGAAAATGCTGCTTGAAAGCGTAAAAGGCGAACCCCGAGTTCCAGTTTTCTTGCCATCAACGATTTGACAAATGTAGTCTATGCGCGCAAAACGGCGCGGGGTTTCCGCTCACCCAGAACTGGTCTCGCAAGTAGGAAACGGGTACTACCCAAGTTGTACAGAATTCTCAACGAAGCCCCCTTTCTCATGAAAATCTCGGTGGGTTTTCGCCACTCGGAAGCGCCATTCACTCGACAATGCAGCCGCCTGAGTCGTTGGACCCCCTCCAAAAACCCTTACGAGTCTGCGCGCGAGGAGCGAAGCGGAAGAAGAGATGGGGCTGGCTGAGAAGAGAAACCGTGCCCACACTCCTCCCGCCTGCCCCCCCTTGGCGACCATCTCACCTTGTGTCAAATCGGCGGGACAGCTCAGAACCCCTGGGTCGATCGTGGGAGCTGGACCCTAGCGTTTTACGGAGTCGTAGGAGTTTGGTGGTGGCGCTTGTATAATTATTTCTTCCGCCTGTCTCTTCTCCCTGTTAGATTCTTTCGGTATCAAAGCTGTCAGCCTGCACTCTTGGCCTCACAGGGCTCAACTCCATAACACCTCGGTAGCGTGGAACACACGTCCGTTTGACCGCCGGGTTCATGTTTGCCCCTTCCAAGGAAAGGGGAAAAAAAGAGAGAAAGAGAATCCGTCGGGGCCCCCAACGACAACGCGTCGAGGTTGGGAAAAGATCCCCTGGTCCCATACCGGTGGCTTCTACATCCCCGCTACCCTACGCGCTCGAACGTATGTCGTTACGTTAATCTTTTGTAGAAAAAAATGCACCATATACTTCTCGTGACATGTGAGCTTGCGGCGGCGGCGGCGATGGGGGCCATCCAACGGGGGGGGGGGGGCAAAGTCGAAAGAATAGAATTGAGATACGATATGCCCCAACCATGGCACTTCAGATCAGAGAAGCCAAGGAAACCAAGCATCCCAAAAGTCCGGTGCGGAAGGGATTCTCGCCGGCGACCCGCACCTGAAACGTGTAACTCGTTCAACTTTTGGCTCTTTCGGTCTGCCTGCCGCTGGGGAAAGGCTTGGTGACTTCCCAGGTTGGGTTGCCTCCATCCGGAAAATCGGTCCCCCGCAGGACTTGGGAGCAAACAATCTGACTTGGCCTTGGTCAGTTATGGATTTTTTTTTATTTTTTTTTGCCGCAATGGCCTAGCGTATTTGAATGTGCGGCAAGGAACCGGCAAGGAACCGGCAAGGAGGAGGGTGCTCCTTGGTCCGTGGCTTGAGGACGTGAGGACGTCGTGTGTATCCGTACCGGTCTCTGGAGGGGTTTTCTCGTTGTACGCGGCCGGCACAGGAGCCGAGCCAGCCATTGGGTGGCAGTGAATTCGACGAGACGAAAACGATTCAGGCAAGGTACACACACAGTAAGCATTTGTGTGTGTGTGGTTTTGCGTGGTCCCGTGAAGTGGAACTGCGTCTGGCCAGCTGTCACGATATCCATTCCATCGCCTTCGGCAACGCATAGTTGCCTGGATCCGATCTTGGACACCCATGTGATGGTTGAAAATTCTGGTTGATGCAAAGTCCAGCTGGCTAGGCTAGATGGTAGAAATCCGAGCTGCCATGGCTCTTTCGGCCAAGTCAGGGGAGGCGGGCTTACACAAGTAGTGGATGCGGATGGCTTCGTCACTGGGGCATCTGCAAAGGGGATTCAGGAAGTTGTACTGGCGACGCAATATCGTCTTGGTATTTTCCTCATGTTGAGGTCTTGTGCAAACTTGAAACGGGTGCCCTTTCCATCTATCTTCGAGATGCCAGGCACAAACAGTAGTGTTCCGACACACATTCAAACAAACACTTGTACAAACAATTCCAACAAGCCTTCCAACCGGGCTTTTTTGTGGTATCCATCCGAAAACTCCCAATGTCTTTCAACAACGCCTGGCCACCCGAGGAATCCCAAGTCCCTCTCACGAATAAAATAGTAATAACGATAAAAATGTAACCCATCTGGAATGCCCAGCCAAAGGCTGGTGTCCATCCTTCCATCATCCTGTTTCGGATTTGCTCAACATTATGGTTCTTCGACGGTTCCAAGGTCCACAGGGGATTCGGGTCCATCGATCAACGTTCTGCAAGCTTTTTTGAGGTGTGGGTTGGCGTCTCAGAGATCGGCGAGATCAAATTCGCCGCTGAAGCCCTTGTTGAGAAGCATGCCGGCGATTCTCAGACGTTGTTCTGGCAAGTCCTCGCCAGCGTAAGCGTCGATGGCATTAAGACCAAGTGCAAGACACATTCCGTTGGTGATCGTAAAGACACCACAGTCGTATCCGTTGGTCTGCATCGGAGCCTCATGAATGACTACCTTCCATTCGCTAGCCTTGTAGTCACCGCCTAAGAAGGCCTGGACCCAGTTCAAGGCTCTGGTAGTATGAGTGGGCGAGCCGGCAGGATTGAAGGAATCCATGTGCGAGACGGTTCGCTTCTTGGGCCGGATGACGAGCAATGTCCAATGGTTGTTCTTACAGATGGGCATGAGGATCGTCTCCAGGTTGAGGAAGTTGTTCTTGTTGATTCCGTAACGGCGAAGTGCTCGTTCAGTGTTCTGAACGCCATTCTCCTCTAGTCTCTTGTAGAAGAATGAGCCCATGGCCACGCACACTCGGTTTGGTGCCTTCACGTCCACGGCGCCTGCAGCTATATTGACGTATCGGTCGAGCCATTGCAATGCGCCATTGACAATTTCATCGTTGAGCCACACGGTTGGTGGGACGACCATGGCGAAGTCGTGCTTTTTGAGGGGAACGCTTTCAGCTGTCGTTGCGAGTGTCAGCGAGGGATTGGCTTGCATCGTCGCTTGCACCTTCTCGACCCATTCGGCCGGTAAAGAGGTGACCAGAGGTCTCTGAGGAACGCGAAGCCCACCCGTCGCCAACAGTCTCTCCTCCCTTGCCTGTCTAGCTTTCTTTTCCTCTTCCTCTCTTCGGCGTGCCTCGTCGACGTCAAGCAGCAGCTGCAGCGCGAGAGAAAGATCTTCAAGCTCCTCTTCCTTGTCGTCCGAGATGGTCAGACCTGCTAGGGTTGGAGGGGTAAGTGGGCTGGGTGGGCGGGATGACAAGTCCTGGGATTCGTCCTTGGCGAAGAAACCCTTAGCTTCAAGGCCATTCAAGGATTTATTGAGATGCTCCAGCAGTTGGGGTTGACAGCGGGCGGCGATTTCGTCGCCATCGCTCTCTTCTGATACATCGTCTGACTTTGGCGCGGTACCTAGCTGCCGATTCGACATCGAAGTGCTAGGGCTGTCCGACGAGCCGTCAACTTGGGCATCGCTCAGAGGGCTGGCATCAACAACGTGTCGTCCCAATGGCGATCCGAAAACGGTAGGAGAGCCAAAAATTCGGTTGAGGAAGCTCGTCGATTTCGCCGGTGAAGAAGATTGCTTGGTAGATGGCGAGAATTGCACTCTTTTGAGGCCTCTTGACTTCTGGAGTCGCTTCAACGAGGCAGGAGACTGGTTGTCTCTTTTGAGGACAGAAATGGGGCTTGGTTTACAGACCAAGTCGTCTGGTACCATGCCTGGGGGTGCGTTCTTGTACGCAGCTCTGCGCTGGGATGCGATGTCGGCCAATTGGTCTTTGACAAACGTATACGCTTCCGTAGTTCTTGCAGGAGGATAGTAACTTCCTGGTTTTGCAATTTCCTCGGCGGGAAGAATCTGTCTTTGATCCGGGGCCTTGATGGAAGGTTTCGCCTGGTTCGAGACTTCGATGTTGGTCGGGATATCTGGGAAGCTGCCGGGCATTGCAATGTCGATCCTCGAGATCGGGTCCTCAGATACTTCAATGCCGAAGCTTTCACGCCCTCGGAAAAAACTCATGACCTTTTCAACTAAACCAGTCCGTTGAACGAGTCCAGGCATTGGCTTTCGACTGGCCAGAGCAGCCAAGTCGGCACTTAGTCCTTTGACAACGCGGCGTGGGACGCCAGCCTCGACCAGCAGAGAGTTGCATTCATCAGGGAAATGCTCGAATAGGCGCTGGGCCACGGCAATAGCGACGTTCTCTTCGGGGCTGAAAGTATAGTTCATGACTGACTGAGGGACCTTGAAGTTGGTCTTCAGATCCGCCAAGAACGTATGAGAGTAGATGTTCTCAAGTATCCAAGCAGTCTGCCGGAAAGCGTCGAGGTATGGACCGAAGACGTAGATCTGCTGCTCCTGAGTTTGGTCGTCCAATCGAGAGACAGGAGACCCTTCCCTGGATTGTGATCGCCTCTTTTCGATCCGGTGGCAAATACGCCTCAAGGTGCGGACGAGAGGGGCTATGTGATGCCAGTGAGCGATCCGTGTCGATTCATCTACCCAATTGAGATTGGTTTTGGTTAAATCCGTATTGGTAGTGAAGCTCTCATCGGCAAAATCATCGACAACCTCCAACCTAATGCGCTTCGTGCTAGTGTTGCCATTCTGCTGACCACGAGAGAGCCTCTCAACAGCAATGAGGTTATGGTTGCGGGGGTACACTGTGACTAGATTAGAATGAGCTCGTCACCGTCTTCTTGAAGCAAGCTAACCGTAGCCAACAATGTTGTTGGAGACCTTTGTGACCGTGCCACGGACTGATGTCATGATACTGGTGAGCCAATTCGTGTAGGCTCGAGGTCTCTGTCACGAATAGTTAGCATCGCCCTGTGGTGAGATTATCAAACAACGTACGTCTTCTTCGTTTGGGTCCAGAACGGCAGCACCTCGAGCGTTCGCAAGCGGCTCCTGCAGAGGCTCCCTCCCATCCGTCGCATTCGCCAGGATGAGTTCGAACTCCGAGTCCTCAGCTGGTCGCTTTCGTGACGGGGTCGTGGCAGGTGAGCCTTGGTCCAAAGACAGTAGTTCCTGTTCGATAGGTTGAACCGTAATCGTCTTCTGGCTCGACCCCTGAACAAAAATTCTTCTAGTTCCCGAACTGTCGTTCACTTCTATGAGTGTCGGTTCGTTGGGAGGGATGACGATTGTTTGCTGGCCTGGGCTGAATGACCAAGCACCTGGAGGCGCGGTTGGCGAGCTGGATTCCGAGTTGCACTCACTGTCCTCAGACTCCGACTCGGCTTCTAAGTTAGAGTTGCAGAGATGAAAGCTTGAGGATGGCTGGGAGCACTTTCTCGTGGAGACGTTTCCGACAGTAGTACGATTGCCCTGGATTCTTTTGGCTGGCTTGAGAATTGGACCACTCGGGCCAAAGAGATCGCTTCTTTCCTCGTGCTGGATGACAAGTTCCTTCAACCTGCGGCGGCGTGCTCGATACTCGGCGACGTGGGAAGCCAGGGATGGCTTGTGTAGATTAGGTTGGTGCCGAAGAGTGGCGGAGATAGGCGCGGGTCTCAAAAGCGTGGCCACCGGTCTGAGATAGGCGGACTGCTGAGACCTGGGGAAGGGTGTCGCCTTGATGGGGGGCTGGCGAACGAAGGGATCTTCCGCAGGGTACTTCTTGTACTTCCGATTTCTTGAAGGGTTCCGTCCTGCGCTGCGCGCTTGAGCACGGAATTGCAACTTCTTGACCTTCGCTGCAGCTGGTGTAAAGAGAGAGGAGCCAGTAGGTTCCGACGATCGCGTGGAAAGGGCACCTCCGTTCTTCAAAATCCCACGCAAGGGCTTTCGGTCTCTGTGAAGCGACTGAACAGTTTTGGCTGGCCCAGATGTCTCCTCGGACTTCTTGAGCGTGGCGTCTCTCTGATGCTCCGCTTCCTGGGCCTTCTGGCGCGTAGCTTGAGCGATCTGCGACTGTGCGACTGGAACTCGGTCGTGGCCGATTTTGGGGTCGTCGGTAGTTTGAGTATGGGCGGTCAGTTGCTGAGTAGCAATAGTACCGAAGAGGGGAACGCGGTGGTTGAAGCCTGGGTTGGCGAGGGAGTTGACGAGGGGGGTTTGGATAGGACTGGGTCTGTAGGTTCTGGGCTTCTCGGTTTCGGGTGATTTTTCTCGAATGTGTTTGCGAGCGTCGAAGAAGTCGGCTAGTTTCTGAGGGTTCGGGGGGAAGCCTCGGCGGCTCGGTATCTGCTGTCGGTCTGGAGCCATATTGGTTAGCTTGGAAGGTGCGTTGCTTGAAGATGAAGCAGGAAGCATCATGAGAGTCAACTTTGACTCGGCGCGAAAGGCGCGAAGAAGCAGGCGAATATGAAAGGTGCGACGAAGCAAAGAAAAATTGAATTCCGGGGTGTTTACTGTGCTTCTGAAGCTGCGCGATCAGGAATTGGTGCGAAGGCGCTTGGTTGAATCGGAAGGCGAGTTGTGTCGCGATGCTAGAAATCGGTCGTGATGGAAGGTTGAAATGGGTTGGAGGTGGGGGGTCGGGGAAGAGTTGGGGAGGCTCGAAAGGCAACGCGCTCTTGTTGTTGTAGAAAAAGAAGGCGCACTGCTGTTCATTGAGAAAAATGCTCAATGTAGGTAGCAATGAGAGATCGAAACGGCATGCGCGCCTCAAAGAATTGCACGTTGGAGGAAGGAAGGTGCAGACGGCAGACACGGTGGGGATTGGATTTGAGAATGGAAGTTGCGATGGAGGTCGTGTTTACCTAAGGTACGTAGATTATGTGCCTAGGGTACTACCTGCCTCCACTAAGGTAGGTACCTACCCAGGTAGGGAATTCAGCTTCATTTTTCTGGTAGCTATATCGCCCCACTAACCCAATAGGTGCTCACCTGTCACTTCAAGCGGCGAAAGGAGCGAAACAGCTTCAAAAATCGACACAGTGGTTTGCTTAATGAATTCATTCATCCATTAAAATGGGATTCACTTCTAAATACATCAAGGCCGCTTACGTGGATAAGGTCACTGGGAACCTCAAGAAGGATCTAGACGGCCCGTGCAAAGTAATTGTTTCCGAGCAAGTGATTTTCACTTTATAATCGATGTAGGCATAGCATGCAGCGTTTGCTCTCTCTTGGTTGAATAAAGTTGCAGACGGTGCTATGGTGTCTATCCATCCTGAAAGGTGAAATCGGAATAGCCTCGCTCTCTTGTAAAAATCCAACTCATGTTTCGCTCCAGTACGCCAGTAAGTAGGAACCCAAGTCAGTATCTGTACACCGATTTCTCTAAAGAAACCTCTCTAAACCTAAGCACTGTCACACTTCAAGGGCATCACAGCTGGGCTAGCGTCTCTCCGAGCTTCTTGGTGCAGAATGTGCCAAAGTACTCGTTCAATGCACCAACCGTGCCGCTGCCCTCCACCAGCTTTGCGACCATACCAACGTAACCGTCAGGACGCACAACGACAACGCCACCCTTTTCCTCATCAAGTCCCAACTTGGCGTGCGCTGCAGCCTTGGCGTCCGGCACGTGGCGGTCCCACCTGTCATCGGCGTAAACATGGTCGCGGTACCGCCCCAGCACCTCCGGGACATCGCGCGAAATCTCGATGTTGCTTCTCTTTGCAGAAATGATGGTGCAGAATGAGAAGAACTTGCTGTGAGGGTTGTGTTGCTCGTGGTGTGAAACACTGTCAACGTCTTCTCTAACATAGGCGGCGTAGAATGACCGCTTGTTGTTGAGGTGACTAGCGAAGTCTCCGAGGGCCTTGCGAGTGACTGAAGGCTTTCCAGCAAAGACGAAGATGCGGAAGGAACCGTTGAGCGGGATTTCTTGCTCCAGGTGGACAACATTGGCATCGACAACCCTCGTAACGTCGGCGTTCATAAACAGGCGGCCGGTGCGGAGCTTCGTACCCTCGGGGTGAATCAAGGATGATTTAGCCCGGTGTGATTCGGACCAGTTCAAGACATTTGGCTTGTAGGCCACGCCGTATCCGCTTGTGAACTCGCATGACTCCTTGAAAGTCTTGATGAAAGCATTTTCGGACTGCTCCTTGCCGGCGTTCTCGGTGGCTGCCTGAGCTTCGCTTGCGGCATCGGGCCGTTGAGAGAACAGCTTGGCATACCTGTTGTCGAAGTCTAGCAACGTCTCAGCCACGTCCCTCCTCTCAGTCTCGTAGGTCTTCAAAATATCGCGCTGCGCGAATCCTGCCTCTACAGCGTGGATCTTCCAGGCCAGGTTTTGGGCGTCAAGGAATGCAGTGTTCATGCCTTGACCGGCTTTGGGCTGATATTCTAGTTAGTATTGGAGCTGTTTCCGTTCTTGTGTGGATCGCTTACGCTGTGGGTGTGGCAGGCATCACCTCCAAGGAATACCCGCTGATCGAGAGTGTAGCGGTCTGAAATTCCTTGTCCAATAGGGTATACTGAATACCACTCCGTCCTCTCCCATTCAATGGAATACGGCTCAAGAATGCGCTTAGCCGACTCCTGCACTTCCTTCTCACTTGCCGTCTTGCGTGGGTCGAAGTCTGGGTCCGTGGAGGATGCGATTTGAATGTACAAACGGACCATGTTGTCCTCTCGAGGGATGACCATGATGGAACCGTGCTTGCTGTGAATCGTGCATTTCATCTAGTCCAAAATCAATATGGGCCTCGATAGACTCATCCTTAGCAAGTGTGCTTACCTTGATATCGGGAAAGTCGGTCTTGACAACGCCATCCATGACACCCCATACGTAAGAAATAGGATCCTTGTGCTTGATGCCAATCTGTAATTGGTCCCTGATGAAGGAACGAGCACCCTCGCCGCCGAAGAGGTATTTGGCTCGCAACGTTTCCTGGGCGGTACCATCGACATGCTCAAGTTTGACCTCGACAGGGTACTCGGGGTTTTCGGCCTCGTTGGATGAGAATCCCGTAATGGTCCAGGGCCTCTGAACCTGCACGCCGTTCTTCTCCAGGTCACCCAGAAAAACGCGCTCGATATGGCCTTGGTGCAAAAGGGTCGTGAAGGGGTACCTGGCATCGATGAACTCTGGGCAACTCGCCCAGGTTCCAGTTCTGGCGATTCCGTTGCCCGACTTGGGCGGGTCCCAAAAAGCGACCTCGTAGACTCTGGCAGGCTTGTGGGCCATGATAGCCGACTTGAGGCCCATGTTGCGAAGAAGGTCGAGCGAGCGTGGTTGAATGCCGTCAGCTCTTCCAGTTGGTGTCGGTTCGGCTCGGTTGTCAATGTGCTTGATTCTATATCCCCATCTGGCTAGAATGGTTGACAGCATCAAGCCCACAGGCCCAGCACCTACAATGACTTTGGGAGGACGTGTTAGCGTGTAGCTCACTGTGAGTTCAGGTAGCAGGGACTTACCAATATCATAGTAGGTGCCTGACTGGCGATCAGGTTGCGTCTCCATCGTGCGAATATAAGAGTAGACTTTGGTTGAATCGAATTGGTGAAAGCAAGTCTATGGGAGCGGATGAACAGCTTGCGGGGCTTCCAAAGTTCAGTCAATAGAGGGGAATGTTGCGCCCAGAAGTGAGAGAAGGATGGTGTCGTCTAGAGAAGAGTCTTTGGGGTAAGGGGAAAAGGCGGCGAGTTGGCCTTATATATAGTGGGAGACCGATTGGCGGAGAGATGTCAATCGGGGCATGGATGGAATAGACGGCGGGGAGATATTCGTGGACGACTGGACAATGAGACCGATCCGAAGGGGACCAAGAGGCCGGCGTCAACATCGGGAAGCAGACTAGGGACGGCAACGTAGGCCGGGAACTCCAAATCCCCACACTGGGGTGCCACTTGGGTGGCTTTTGGCACCCAGAGTCACGGATGTGGCCATGTGCGCCTCACGGTGCCCATCAAAAGGGCCTCGAGTCTAGCCAATCATGGTCTATGGGAATAGAACGACCATGTTATCCGTACAGGCTTGCATGGTTGACCCGTAGGCGTGGCAGGCACGTCATGGAGACACTTCCGAAGGGAACCGGGAGGCTTTGCTGAGTGAGGCGCCCCCCGCTGAGTGAAGCTTCCACTGATTTGGCCGGCTGGGCATCCCTGCTTGGGGGAGCTCAGGCTTGACAAAAGAGACTCGGGTAGTCGAGTCGGCAAGTTGGCTGTGGGGCAGCTCAGATTGGCTTTTTGGTGGTTGTGCCTTTTCCTCAGCAACTCCCACGACTGAGTGCCAAAAAGGCAGTTGGAGACGGCATCTGGGTGGTGGTCGGTACATGTTTCGGGACAGCTAAGCTTAGCTCAAGACCCCACCTGCCCGACAGAACCCAATCACAGCCTGGCTCTTTCCAAGGATGGCTACCTATCTTGGGACTTGGGGTCCTCGGAAGTTGGAGAAGGCAAAGTGCGGGGAAAAGACGGTGCAGCTGCACCCCGAGGGTACTTGCCGCTGGCACCGACCGAACCGAAATGTCGATTGCAACCTATGGAGTGAACTGTGGAATGAAGAAGGAATTGACAGGGCAGGAGTTGCCTCAACTTACTCCGAGTGTCCGCTCAGCTCCACTGCACTCACTCTACGAATCAAGTGACATTGTTTTTGTCGTTGTAATGCAAGGCGCGATGCCAAAGCACACGTGACCGCGGCTGATGTCTCCGTTTGGAAGGCTTGATTGCGGTCTCATCGTCAGAAATGAGGTAGGCGCGTAGCTCTTTGTATGTATGTTCCACTCAATTATAGAGGAGCGTGTAATACGCATCGAATTTGCAATGTGTTTCCTGAGTACGGATACCTCGTTACTATTTGGAGGTTGAATCGGCAAACCCGTTACTGGAAGCCGCACGGACGCGTGCGGTAGAAAGCTGGACGGAACCTGTCCGAAGAAGCCCCCGCCTACCATCACGCCTTCAGAATGTGCATTTCCGCATCGTCAACGGCCCTCCGACAACCGCGAACATGTCGACTCGCCCAAACGAAATTCCCAGTCATGAACGTACGGATGGACATGTAAGGCACCTCAAGGCCTGCGGGCAGCGTTGCATATCCTGCATCGTGCCATGGTTGGTGGTTCTCCACGCTCCATGCGCTAGCCACCTGTTCCGAGACGGGATCAACCTAGCACGAGGCTAAGCCCAGGCGTGTGCTCTGCGGTTGATGCAATCAGCATATCCTCCCGACATCAAAAGACAACGAATTGCTCCTATGGTAGTAGTCTATTTCAGTATTGGGACTTAGACTAATGGCGTACTGCCTGCGCAATACTACCTTGCAAAGGCCACCTGGTCGCTTTGCCATCGTCTTGCTGAGTGGTACGGCCTGGGTGTTATATCGATATCCAATTCGAGATTGCCGGGGCCTTGGCAACTTGATGTCCGATAGGCAAGCTGCAAGGGCTTCTTGAACAGTATCGACATTTGGTGTTTGGACCTAGCGATCTCAAGATTTGTAAACTCCCCAACTATGGGCATTTTCAGTACCGTTGGATCTCACAGGCTAATTTTGATTCGGCCGAGAAGGGTTCTTTCTGCTTGCTTCAAGTGAAGGCACTGGGGCTGGGAAACAGAGATACTTGGCTTGAGGTAACCGGCAACAGGCGGGCTGAGAGGGCACCACATACGATCTGGGAGACCAGATCTATCAGTGGCACATCTGGTCGAGTGACCTGCCGCATCAAGAGCAAAAGCTTGCCCTACTGTAATACTTGAACTTATGGAACATTCAACCCGGTTCTGATTTGTTGGCATGCTTCCGTGTATCGCCGACAGTTTGGGGAGGGCGGAACACCTGCGCCTTCCAACCTCGAGGCGTGTACTTTCCTTAACTGCCTTCGTACTTGCCTGACGACAACGACCACACTTGCCTTCTCTTTGATCTCTGCGGTTGTTCGACCTCCGCGTCTCCGTTCATGTGCGAAGGGAGCGAAGAATCTGACGTCCTGTCTCTATAGCCTGTGTCTTCTCGCTTTCTTTCCTCCAGGGTCGCCGAGAACCCGGAATCCTGTATGAGTGCAGCGCCTATGATACGGTCGATTGCGACGACGACGACGAGAACGCCTTCCTACACCCAGCTGTATGCCGCCATGGCACAGAGAAAGTAGTAGATAGTGCCGCATCCCGCTCACGAAAACCCCCGCGAGACGCACTTCACCGTGTCAGACCCGTCTGACCACTGCCGACTATCCTAGCTAACTCCGGTAACCCTGTAACCATGCGGAACCGGCTTAGCCTCCAAGCCTGGGTTGAGTCTATTCAGACAGCTGCCCAGGCCGATGATGAGGAATGGCGTCGAAGGCTAGCCAAGATGGGAAACGAGTTTGCCCAGGACACTCTGTCGCGCAACGGTTATGACGAAGGAAGTAGGTTGCCTCCGGTCAACTCAGGATACTGGATATGTACTAAGGATGCGCAGAGTGTCGCAACGTTCTTGTCAGATACTGTGCACACATACCCCGGAACTATCAATACCGGGACGGTGTTCAACTTGTAAGTCAGACACTCTCCGTTTTACTCTGCCAATATGGATACCTAGCTCATGCTTTCCATGCCAGGTGTTTTTGGTTCTGCGCGAACATCTCGGAGACGAAAATCTGGATCTAGCTGGTGGCGTGCTATACGAGTTGATCGAAATTGACTGCCAATATTCTGATGACCCAGGTGCCGAGTTCCAACGTTGGAAACATGATCATCTCAATCGACATGTAAGTTAGTAGCACAAGTACACTGCAATCCCCATTTACTAATCTCAACACCGCAGTCCAACCTTGAATTGCCCCATATACCTCATATGAGTACGATCACCTCGTCCATACGGCCCACAGTCAGTCTTGTGCGGTGGCGCCAGCAGCATTCGAGTCGATATCCTATCAGACTTTCAGACTATTACCCATCGACCAGGGTGAGCTCGAACGAGCCAAGTTGCATACGCAGTCGCAAAGCTTGGATGATTGACCATACTATGTACGTTTCGACCCGCGAGGGTGGCACCTGTGCTTTTCGCAGTCCCAACCCTAAAGAACTGCATGAAATGCAATGGCAGCTTGGCACCGGGAGTGCTGGCAGGTTCGTCAAAGAAGAAGAAGTTATCCCGGCTACTTCGATTCACCAAGGAGCGGAGACGAGCAACTTGAACGACAATCCCGATGACGATACTATTCCTGTGGACAGATCAGACCTCAGAAGATCCCTGTCTCTCCTCCGTGCGCTAAGAAAGAGAAGAGACCCTTCGATGTCTCGAGATGCCGGAGGACCGCCGCCTAGGAGCAAACGAATTAGTTGGTTCACAAATATGTTTGGACTGGAGACGGTTCTCTCCTTTCGAGAATCTCCTGATCCAAAGCCTGTACCGCTGCCTGAAGGCTGCGTGACACCGCATGCGATTTTTGCTAGGAAATTTTCCTTGATAGCCGACAATCAGCCTCTGCCGCCGTCGATGTCTCACGAGATGATGCCGACAGCGGATATCAAGGCCAGGAAATTGCTGGCGGATGCTGCCGTGCAGGGAGTGATGGGCCCTTCCTAGGAGTTTCGTGGCCCTTTCACACCTCAACTCGGCTTTGATGGCGGACTGGACCATCGACGAGTCTTTGTTGACCCTACTGCTGCGTCATCCCGCGCAAACCGATTTCTATCTCACGAGACAGCTGCCGGTTCTCGTAGGCAAAGCGACGTCGGTTCCCCTAAGCAAGCCAGGACACCAAAATCTCAACGCGGCCACGACTGGTTCGGACTGGATACCGCTACTCCAGAATCCGATACTCAAAGACAGAGTCCCCGTGCGCGGAGCGTTGGCGCCGAAAGATCACCAGGCATGGCTCTCGGCGACTCTATGAGGCGCGACTGCAAATATCATCCTCTCTCCAGCAGTAATTGGTTCGGTCTAGATGGTACTGTAGACGACGATGTCGGCACGAGCCCGCCAGACCGAGATCGCGCCCGTTGCAAATGTGTGGTGCGCACACCATGCGGGGTCGCCGCTAAGAACGACGGATTACAAGCGCCAACAAATTTTCGTTCGAACTCACAGACCATCCGGCCTACTGCGCGTCACTCTGGGAAGTGGCAGGATTCACCCAGGTTCTCCCACGCCGGCGGAGAGCGTGGTGTTCCTGATCATCGATGGCTGGTGGCAGACATACCAAGGATACACCCTGTCAACATCGTCGAGATCAAGACCCACAAACTGCGGCTTGCTCCATCACTCGACCAACTTCGCGGCCCAACTCTTCCAGCCAAACTTGCGATTCTATCCAGAATCTACAGCCCTCCCGATGATGACGGAGGCCGGAAAATTGCCACGGAAGATATGCTTGGGAAAGCTCGAGAGCTGACCATCACAAAGCAACAACCCGTCCTTCGTGACGTCGGACGGGGGTCTCGCTCCAGCGGGATGGCCTCGAGCGATCGATCGGAGAAGCTTTCTCATTCCAGGACATCGTCTAGGCCAAGTTTGTCTGAGGGCCAGGATCCTATGAAATCTAGTAGGTATTTTCTGCTGTTTATAGGCCAAGTTGAGATCTCCGGTACTAACACCCGTCGCTCAAGCGCGGCATCAACCGTCGCTCTCGGCCTTCTACGCCTATGTTCAGAGTGACGGTTCTCCCTCGGGGTCAAATGATGGCTCGCAAGAAAATATAGGCGTTGTCCGGGGATCTCAGGCATCCTACAGCGACTATCAAACGGAAGAAATATGGGCAGGGCAAGGCAAGACGCGATCATCCTTGAGCCTAGAAAAGGTCGCTGTATCTGAACCATTAGCGTGTCGCGATACACAGCCACTGGAGCATTCCCTTCTACGTAGGTATTCGGCGAGGTGTCTGGGAAGATATAACTAATGCAACGTAGCTGGCGATGCGAGGAATCAGTCATCGTCTCGGATGGAGCACAAGTCGGAGCCGAGAACTGACGATGTCTCGTTATCGGAAGACTCTGATGCGTGGCGCTCCTTACTGATGCTTGAGGGTAGGCAGCCTGGTTGAATGAGCGGCATTTTGCTGCTGTTCTCACGTCCCTGTTGTCCTTGATCTTTCGTCGTTGGCCATCGTCGTCCCTCTCTATCCCGCTGGACCCAATTGTAGCTAATTTGTGTATTCCAATCGAATAGACCAGCGCCCCGCCTTGGATCAGGCCAGGCACTCAGTTGACTTGGAAGCCATTTTCCCGCAAAGAGGTATGTAAACAAACACGCTTGCTTCACCTTCCGGCAGGTTGCCGCGCGAAATTCACTTCCACTTCACCCATTACCCACCTCTCCTCTTTTTCGATTTTCAGCAATGTGCTGAAGGCTGACTTTCTCCATCTCAGACCCTTCATCTTATCGCAGTCGCATCGAGGCTTGGATTTCGGAACTTCGGGCGAGTCAATTCGAAGACCCTGAACTCGTCGGCCCATTTCCTCGGCTTGTCCTACAAAGATCTCGCTCTCTGCTACTGCCAACCGATCGACGTGCGGGACCCGACTTCCGCGAGGACTCATTTCGCTCAAGGGTTGGGAATCTCATCGAGTCCAAACGTCAACATCAACGGAAATCTCGCTCTGTGGGCTCTCGAATCTCTGATCGGCGTCATACTCGAGAAACAACGTCGACGATATCGACTGATCTCCCCATCATGACACAGGACTCGGAGATGCCGGGCGTCAAAGGTCGAGTGGCGGTCCCCTCCGCAATCAAGGGTAGCTTCATGTCAGTTTCGCCCAAGAAGCATCGATCACCGTCGCCTCAGAAACACAAGCCCAACAAGTCAGTGCAGATCAATCTGAATTTGACTGAAAACCAGATGGATAGATTGACCGACGTGTGAGTATTCTCTGCTAGGAGATGTAGACTCGGATCCGTGATTGACGAGTGATCAGGTTCAACAGTACAAGCGAGTCGCCATCTCGCCGTGGCCGAGTGGACAACTTCAGTCGACCTCGGTCGCCCGAGCGAGACATTGACTTCGCTGAACCCTCCACTGAACCCTTCACTGAACCCCAATCGTTGCCTCGGGGTCATGGAAATCCTTACCATCAGAAGTCTGCCAAAAACGCCAAAGCCCAACAAAGACGTCTCGAGGAAGGCCACGAAAGCGACTCCACTACTTTCTCGGAGTTGATGCCAAGCTCACCTCCCAAGGGCCACAAGGCCAAGGGCTCTCTGGCATCGAGTCTCGCCGAGCGTCGCCAGCAACACACACCCAAACCTGTCCACGTTCAAGATAGTCGTCAGTATGGGGCTATTGTGGAGAATGCTGGCGGCATGCCCTCTGTCCGTCCGCCTATGACCCCTGATAACCCTTCTCCCGCGAAAACCGTCCAAGCAGATTCGTCCTCCATCTACTCTCAGAGTGAAGGCCATCCTAGCCCTCTCCGCATCCACAGGGACGATATCCCGCGACACATTAAGCATGTGTTGGAGTCATACAGCGGCTGGAAGGACTCAAAGGCCCCAGCGCTGGTTTCCGACATGGGCGGCCGCGGAGGGAGCCCGCCCAAAGGTAGACTGGAAGCTCTCAAACAACCAGTCATGGACGCAAGTGATATATACTCTCCTCTCCGGCCTTACTTCGCCTATAAGGACCTTCCCGTACAGAGAATTGCGGGTAAGACCCTGATTGGCGAGCAAGGATGGCTTGAGCGACCCAGCAACACTCCCGACCGCAAGAGAAAGGACGGGTCCCCAAAGAAGCCCGGACTTCTTGACTACCTCAAGAAGATTGCAAAGGAAATGGTAAGACGTCCCTGAGCTTCAGCGTCCGTATTCTGAGTCATCATCTAACCCAGTGACAGACTGAGAGCAAGACTACTCGAAGGCCGAGGGATATGGAGAGGGAGGCGAAGGTCCAGAGAGTCACGATCTCTCTCGATCCCCGTGAGCAGAGTCTTCTTTACTGCGAGCTCGAGTTCCACATTAGCAATGCGCTGCATGCCTACATCACGAACGAGCTGAACCACGGCCGTCTGAACCCTGACAAACTCAAGAAAATTGCCGATGGATGGACGCACAAGGGTCGCCCACGAGTCGTGGGATTTCGCTACGACCTGGAAACACAACTCGATCTTGTCCATCTACACATTGACGAGTTCCGGTTCTTTGGCCGCCGTCAAGGCAACCCGACGGAGATCGCCGGTCTGCTTCACGCGATGAAGACCAACGCACGATCTTTGCGCATTCGCACTTACTGCCAACCTGATTCCGTCATCGCCAAGCAGCTTGTTGACTCGCAATCTCTCTGCAACACCATCGGATGCTCGGAGACTCAGCAGATAGCCATCGCCGAGATAGCTCAGTTCTTCAAGGTCATTGTGGAGAGGGAGCAGGCTTACCGAGCCAAGCTGGATCGCGACAACTCTACGCAAACGCTGCCGCATGGCCAGGGTGATCGTCAGTGGGTTCCATCCAGGGAGCTGGTTGAAGGCGCGGATCCATATGGTGGCCTTCACTTGATTCCGGACGGTTACGATGTTGGTAAGGAGACTCTTCGATACAACAACTAAGCCGTCACAGCCTGTCTCTTTCCGATGCTGCATAGAGACAACGACTGAAATGGTTTTGACAACGTTTACGACAGGTCACAGGTGCAAATAATGGGCAAAGGTTGCACGTATGGAGCAGAAGGGAGGTGGATGCACATGAGTTGGTCTTTGGGCTATGGGCGTTGCTCGGTGTCTGCCGTTTGAGCTCGATGTGCTTCAGCCCGTCATTGCCTTGCTTTTGCTGCTTGAGAGCACATGGGATACGCATTATGAACCTGCCACAGGGTCTGTGGCAGCTGATGAGAATGAGGATATGCGGTACGAGCTTTGTAGACCAAAAAGACAATTGTAGGAATAACTTTATTGAGGCATCCGTAAGGGAAGTGTATAGCATGATGTGATATATCTGGTCTTGCTGCATGGGGAAGATTTCTCGGGACAACACCTCCACCAAGAAGCCCGAGGCGTAGGGTTCGATGACACAGGAAGCATCGGGACTTCAACTCATTATCAACTCAAAAGAAAGAAAGAACTCATTAGTCGTCAAGTCGTAAGGTGATATTCATGTACAATCAATGCCGGCGGTGAAGCTCGTCCCGACGGTCTCAATTCCTGTACGAATAGCGCTCTTCGCTTCGCAGTCTTCCACCACGGCGATCTTCATATCCATAGTCAGGATATCCCTCATTCCACTCGTCACGATGCCGGTTGCGCAGGCGCCCTCTGCCATGATCCACGTCGTGGTCTCTTCCCCTCCCCCACTTCCTCTCCCAAGCCAGTTGCTGCTCTCTATCCCGTTCACGAGCAGCCTCGAAGCGTCTCTCAATGGCGTTAGCGCCCAGGCCTCCTACGAGAGCCCCGACGACGGTGGATATAACCCGCGCTTTCTCTGCCTCACGGGGCGAGCGCGGGCGGTATGTGCCGTTTTCCATTTCCTTGCGAGTCCGGGATCGGACGGTGGCGTCGGAGACTTCGCGTGCTGCCAGGCCACCAACGACGGCGCCTAGAAGGCCTACGCCGATGCCCGAGGATGACTGGGTGAAGGTATGGTCGACAGCGTGGCGGGCTTTGCCGATGGGGCTTCGTGGGCGTGAACGCGAGCGTGGTCTGCCTACTGCGTATGCTTGAAGTGGGAGGGAGCGTGGGCGATAGTGGGGTTGGGGCGGGAGTTGCAAGGCGTTTGAGTCGCGGGGGGAGAGCGGTGATTCGGGAGGGTAGTATGGGTGGACTTGAGGAGGAGCGTCGACGGGGATGGCACCCGAGATGTAAGGGCCGCTGGCGAGCGGAACGGGGCCTCGGTCCGGATATACTACCTGGATGGGACCGGCGCCGCCGCCGGAATAGTACTCGGGGGAGTACTCCCTCGCGACGGGAGGTGGGTCGTCGCGGCGATGGTGGCTTGGGCTGCCGGGGCGGTCTTCCCGGATCTCGTGCTCGTAATACCTAGACATGACTACCTATGCCGAGTGGCGTGCAAGACTTTACACCTTTGGAGTGATGTCGGCGCGGTTTCGATGGAATGAGAGAACTTTCCGAAGCCAGTCGATCGCGCCGTTAAGAAGAGTTGTTCAACCTGGAGGTCCAATGAACTCGGCGAGACAGAATCTGCGCGAGGCTGGGCGGAGAAGACGAAAAGTTGAGTTCCGGTTGGAAGAGCCTTAGGGAGTGATGACAGGGGATCTTTATGCGGTTGGTAGTAAGAAGTTTGCTGCAATCGCAAGTCGACGCGGAGTGCAGAGTCGTACAAAGCACACAGCAGCGGCCGTAGATGTAAGAGTGCGTTTCTTACGTGGCGACGCCGAGAAAAGGGATTTCGAATTTGAGCGAGGGAAAATATCTGAGCTTAGCTCCGGGCAAATAAATCTTCAGGTTGTGTAAGCTCAGTCTGATGACTAGGTCAAAGAGTCCCGGAACTTAGAAGAAGGCCGCGGGATTAAGGTAGAGAAGGTCGAGGTCACAGCGTTTGAGTGAGGGAGGTACAGTACCTGTGTGCGTTTGTAACACGGCAGATGGTTTGCTGTACCGCCGTCACACTCGAAAGGCGGTTGGGGATAGGAGTACCTTATCTACCTCGCTGGCCAACATAGCCCTCTAGGACCTATGCAAGATGGAGATCCTCGACTCTTTTCTGTTTGCTTTCTATGAGAAACGGGCGGGGTACACACCTCGTTTCTCTTGTAGATTACCGTCAGGAGAAGGTAACGCGGTCCGATGTCGTTCCCTTACCTTTTTCGGTATGTGTCAAGTTGCAGGGGTTCTACACGTATATTCGAGAGGTGGGTGGTGCGATGATGTCACGCATAATGGATGAGTAGGAAGGGACAAGGACATGATACTCGGTGGGAAATTCCCAAGTTCAAGCAAGCATGGAATTTGCCCGAGCATGTGCTACCGGCGTACCTAGGGCAATTCGTTGCGCAAAATACACGGAGCGTTGCTGACGTGGGATTGTTTAGGTAGCCTTAGCATGTAGTTGGCTTCACTATCCTACTGCAAGTCACAAATGGCACGAATACTAAGGCAAGGTCGTGCAAGATGCAGAGTTGCGGAACTCTTCTCAAACTGCCGTGTTGAGCCTCATCCACTATCACTCCACTCACTACATCGGCGTAATCTTGCTTCTCCACAACCCGAACAAACGGCTGTGGTAAGTTGAGTTCCATCTGCTGGGTTGGTGCTGGGTGTGAGATGATGCAGTCGTAGGAAGTGAAATGGCGATAACAGGAAGAAGAACGGCGACGTGGAATTGGACAGCTTACCGAAGATGGCCCCGCCACTCTTGCTAATTTAGGTGGCGTGACCATGCAACGGCGCTGCCATTGGTCATCCTAATACGTGGCCGTTCCCTCCCAAGCTTCACATCGGCAAGAAATCAGCAGGCTTTCCACGAGGCACTCACAGCGGAACTCGCCGACTGCGCGGGCGTGTCAAATGCAGCGACCCTTCGATGGCGAACTCAAAGGCAGCCCTGAGCTGACTTCCCCCTTTTTCCCAACAAGTATACCTCGGCGAACGAATCCGAAGCCAGCCCTCACAAACCCGCGAGAATCGGCTCGCCGGCGGGAAACAGCCCCGCACACCGGGCCGGCCCCACAGCGGGTACCCTCTCCGGCCATCACAGAGGTGCTATCGTCTATCCGTAATAAGGTGGGTTCATTCCAAAACCACTCACCGCCGTCCGCCTTAGACATACTCGCACAAGCTCACCACCGATTCGTGATCGCCGGCCTCCCACCCGGTTGTTCGTACCGCTCTGGCTAAACATCGGCTGCATGTAGCTCCACGGTTCATAGTAGAGGCCTACCATCTCCATTCAAGAAGGTCGTCTATTCTACACTTCCACGAACTTCATTGGATGACCTCACGCTCTATCCCAAATAGGTCATGGAGGCTCCTCTCAAGCAACTAACTCGTTCCTCCTTATACAGTAGAACTTCCGGGCTTTTGCCGGCCGTCGCGACTTCCTGACTCTACGATCGTCTTAAAGAGTCGTGATGCTCCGCGCACCTCGTACTACTTTCTGAAAATCTGCCTTAATCATAATTTTAATATCTCAGAGATCAAGGTTTTTCGGTATCCCCCAAGACAACATCTTGTCTACACACTAACGTTGCGGCTTCTCGTCAAACCAGCCAGTACCCACGATGGACGAGAAAGTCGCCCCAGTTCCCGTGTTAGACGGGACAGAGGACACAAAAGCACCCTCCATTGTCGCTTTTGAGGAAACTAGAGAGCGTTGGAACGGAACCCGCATCAACACTTACCGCTTCTTCGTAACCTGTGGGAGCTTCATCATAATGGGCATGAACGACGCCGCTGTCGGTGTAAGTCTAAGATTCTACGATACTCAAATTTATCAAATGCTTACAACTGTCTGCCTACAGGCCCTGATTCCTTATGTAAGTGGACACGAACCTTCAACTCCCACTGAGTAACATGAGTCTGACGTTGGGGTTCAGATCGAAACGTACTACGACATCACGTACACCGTCGTCGCCCTACTCTTCCTTTCGCCATTCATTGGCTACCTGGTAGCAGCCCTATCCAACAACCTCATACATCACAAGCTCGGTCAGCGAGGCGTTGCAGTGCTTGGCCCCATCAGCCGCATGATCGGGTACATCCCCCTCGTCACCCATCCGCCTTACCCCGTCCTCCCCGTTGTCCTGCTATTCGCCGGCTTCGGTAACGGCCTCGAAGACAGCGCCTGGAACGCCTGGGTAGGCAACATGCAGAACGCCAACGAGCTGCTCGGATTTCTTCACGGCGCATATGGCCTGGGCGCGACCATCGGGCCCCTAGTCGCCTCGGCCATGGTGACCAAGGGCAAGCTGCCGTGGTACTCCTTTTACTACGTCATGATTGGCGTTACCGCGGTGAACTTCGTGGCCGCTATCACGGCGTTCTGGGGCGCAACGGGCAAGATACACAGGGACACCCACCAGTCTTCGACGGGGGAGAAGAGAACGACGACTTTGACCGTGTTACGTCAACCACTCACTTGGCTTCTGGCCTTGTTTCTGCTGGGCTATGTTGGAGCAGAAGTCAGCCTGGGCGGGTGGGTTGTTACATTTATGCTCCGCGTGAGGCATGCTGAGCCCTTTCTGGCTGGCGTCACCGTGGTGCTGTTCTGGTAATTACGTTCCTATCCAAGCCTGTTCCACTATAGGATCCCTACTAACCCCGTATTCCATAAGGCTGGGACTGACGATAGGTCGAGTCATTTTGGGCTTCATAACAGGGCGCATAGGAGAGAAGCGCGCAATCGCAATCTATCTCCTCATCTCACTAGCACTCCAACTGCTCTACTGGCTCGTTCCCAACTTCGTCGCCTCCGTCATCTTCATCACATTCCTCGGCTTCTTCCTCGGCCCCCTATTCCCCGCCGTGATCGTCACCGCGACCAAATTGCTCCCCAGCGACTACCATGTGGGCGTGATTGGATTTGCCGCTGCCTTTGGCGGCGGTGGTGCAGCAATCTTTCCGTTCGCCATCGGGGCTATTGCCCAAAGCAAAGGCGTTCAGGTGCTACAGCCCATCATATTGGCTCTTCTCGTATTTCTCTTACTCTTGTGGCTGTGCGTTCCCGGCGGATTCAAGAGGGGTGGGCTCGAGAGGGCAAGGGAGAATAATGAGGGTCTTGGTAGCGATGTCAAGAGTCTATTTTCGTCGATCAAGCAAAAGCTACGAGGTTTAAGCTAGTAGTCTATTGAATGAACATATCTCTCTGCTATCAAGTTCCGATGTTTCGATGCAAATGGCCCACGACTGTCGAACTACTGCCGGACGTAGTAGCTCGTTGTACCCCATCAGCCAACCATCCACAACATTGCGTTTGCAGAATGAATCGTTCGTTCTCAACTCAGTTAAAGTACAGGACGGCGGGTTATGGGTGATGTTGAAGAGAGGCGTGATACGACCGCATACTATTCGACAGGCCTCTTCTCGCTCTCCGAGAACTGAACCGTCTCCTTGTACTGGATTGGTTTGGGTCGTAAGGATGTTTGCCCCGTGCCATGTTGGGAAAGAAGACTTGGATCGAAACGGAAGCTGTAGCTCCCTGGAGTCCAAAATGTTCCCATGGCGTAGCATGTTGCGCCACCTCCTACGATGGCGAAGTTTCCATTTTCATAATGCACGACGGAAGACCCCATCAAAAAGGGGCGCATCAGGCCGGAACTGTCTGTGCCATCAAGCGTGGCTACCACACTCACGTCTGTTTCAGTTGTTTTGAGAATGAGGATGTCGTATGCTGATGAAAGCTGGACCCCTTTAATCACTCCGCCAAGCAATAGCGTGTAATTAGAAGACTGAACAGCAACAGAGCCGAGGCGGGCCAGAGAGCCGGGCATACCCCCGTCTTCTGGGGTTCGAAGCTGGAATGACAGTACAGGCTACGAATGGGCGTTAGCGAGTGCAAAGAATATTATCTGAAGAGTCGAATTGGTACATACCTCGGGCTCGGAAACATCCAATCTCCAAGTATAAAGTTCCTGGTTGATGACGCTGTCCTCAAGGCTGCCTCCGGATAGGAAACCAGTGAAAGCTCGAGATCCCACTTCGCCTACACAGATGAATGTAGCGCTGTACAGTGCAGGTGGCGCAGACTGTACGTGGCACTTTTCCCAACCCTCTGCAGGATCAAACAGGAAGTACTCGGCTGATGTTTCAATGTGATTCTTCCTACCGCCAGCAAGGAGGGCAAGAGACGAAGAGCCAAGTCGAGTCACGGAATGCCTGAAAAGGGGGACGGGGAGATCCTTTGTCGGTTCCCAGGCAGAAAGATTCTTGTTGAATAGCCAGCAGTCTCCGAACGCCGTTGATGGGGACGCGCGACCACCCGCGAGAAGAACGCCAGCGCTGCCCAGATCCGTAAGGCTGTGGCATACTCTGGCAGATGGCATGTTGACGGACTGGTTGGAAGACACTGTCTGACTGGATATTTTGTACAGGTCCTCGGAGTTCATCCGTCCAACGGGACCCTGTCCGAAGTTGTGGGAGATAGACCCACCGCTGTTGGGCTCTCCGACGAGCATTGCGGCGCCGAGCCGGCGGTGCCCACGAGCAGACTCATAGGGGCTCATGTTCATTGAACATTGGAAGGATGGAATGTTGACTTCTCCATAGACCTTGAATACATGGCCCTGAACTTCAGACCTCGGAGTTGAGGCAAGGATGACGAAGTAATGGCTGGCGAAGAGAGCAAACTCTTCCAGCTCGTCGAAGGACTCAACCGAGTCAAGGGCTCGTCTCTCTTCAGCAGTCATGAACAGATCGTCAGACCAAGCCTCCCAGAGTGTCCAACTCTCGGCTGATGGCCAGCCAAGAGACTGAAATCGCTTCTCCTGACTGGCCACGGTGGGATAGCGATGGACCGACTTGAGTGGGGCATTCATCTTGTTGAAGTGCCCAAGCATCGTGTGAGCAAAAGGATGATCGGGCCCATCTGGTAGGATTTGTTCCAGTAGACAGAACTCAGCTACGTGTTTGATTAGAGTGTGTCAGAAAGTCCGAGGTAATAAACGTACCATTTCCAACAGTGGCTGCCCACTCAATGACTCCATTCGCACCTTTCGTGTCCATGTAAGTAATGGAGACTTCGGCCACGAACAAGAACTCGGTATTGGGCACGTCAAAGAGCGCGTCAAGACAGCTCTGCAGAACCGAGAGCTGCTGGAGGTTGCATCCCACTTGACAGTACTTCTGGCTTTTGAGGACGATTGGGGAATCGTCATTTACCTCCCAAGCCCCCATCAGATCTTGCAGCTCGGGGGTCTCGAGTACTATCTGCCGCTTCTTCTGGATAAGATCTGGGTAGTCGACATCAAGGAAAGTAACATCTCGACATGAATCGGGATAGCGCACTTGGCACTGCCACGGCAGAACGTCGCTGTCACGAAGCGTTAATCATGTAACAGCACCCATAAACACGGAAAGCAACACAGGGTGGAACTCACCTCCCGCAGCCAAGATTCACGATGACTTTCTTTCGGGTTGATGGCTTTTCGAGAAACCGGCGAACTAGAGTGTCGATGACTTTGAGTCTCAGATGATAGCCTCTGTTGACGAGGGGTGCCCTTCTCCGGAACTTTTTCACAAAGAATTGAAAGTAGTGAGGCTCGTCAGGATAGTAGAGATGTTCCTTGGATGGCATTTAGGCTTGCTGTCTCAACCAAGCTAGCAATAGTAAGACTTACGACACTGCGTTTTGAGACTATAGAACTGTTGTTCGTCTAGGAGACAGGGCGTGTGAGTGACATTGAATGAAAAGATGGATGTTGGAGACGTACTCACGGCCATGATCAAGTCGTCCGAAGCCCGACTTTTCTGAACATCCTGAGTTGAGGGAGCCATCTTGAACAGATCACGACAAAAGCTTGCGCCCGGTCCAAGGTACTTCGTGTCGTGGATTACAGCAATCGTGAGAGTCTTGGTTTTGGCGCCGCCAATTTTTTTTACTCAGAACGAAATTTACAAAAAAGTTCCCTCCTCAGTGAAAGGCGCCAAACAACGGGGCTCCGAGCTTCTAAACCCCCATTGCGGGATAAAGGCGGTTGGATCACATTCCATGACACTAAATCCCAGAACATCGTCAAGAGCTGTGGAATACGGCAAGAAAGGCTAATTCAAAGGGGAAAAAATTTTAATTACAGCTAGAGAATGCAGCATAATCCGCGTAGACTTGGTGATTCCAACTCATTGTTTCCTGTCTGTGCCCCTCACCTTGATGTTTGTTCGCATGGGAACTGGAAGTCTTATCTTATCAGCACTGTTCCCCGAAACAGTACGTATTGAGGTACCTCGAGTTCCACATGCCGGCCCAATCGGTCACCTGTCGCGAGTTTCCAAGCCAGCTGCCCAGAGCTTGAGCCACACGTGCCATGAGCACACCGGGGCACCCAGCCATTTCGGCTGCACGCGGACAGTGAGCTCCCCTGCGGCCCTGTGTGCTTGCCTTGCTGAGAGCGCTCAAGGCAATGGGGGTGCACGAGAGGTATTGGTATTGCATTCAAACTACCTTGGTTTGTGGATGCCTATGTAAAGCAGGTCTCTATACCTGCTGCCTCAAGTGAGGTGAAATGCCTGAACGCATCATCGTATATTCTATCTTAGGTAGGCACGCACGGCACGTAGACATCCTCCACAGGCATGCTAGGTACTTACCGAAGGTACGGTGCTCTGTTACTTCTGTATCCGTCCGCGATGAGCTCTTCTAAGGCGCTAGGACCATGGGATTACATAGCTTCCCCGCCGCCCCCCCCCCCCCACTGGATTGACATCGGGGTGCCTCCTCCATTCACATTGCGTTGTGAGCCGTCCCGCCTGGATCTGCTTCCACAAGCTACCTTACGCCAACATCGACCTTCCTTGCCCGACCTCTCTGACTTTGCTTGACCGCAACGGCCGCTCCCTCACCTCGACTTCCCTCTGCTGTTGCGCTGTCGCCATCTTGCGCCAAATTCCTCCGACCTTTCAACTGCACTCAATCCCTCGTCGTTTTTGTCGCCCTCATACCGAACATCGCCCCATCTCGAGACTACGATCGTCCGTTCGGATTTGTTGGCAGCTGAAAGCCGCCAGCCGGACCCGAGCCGCTGCGTCCTACTTCGGTCTAACCAACAATACTCTCCTTCTCGAGTACACGCGGAAACACATATCGTGTCCTGTCCACGCCGTCTATTCTCGACTTCTTCTCGGTATACCGTCGACTACCTCTACCCCAGACCACCACGACTGAGTCTTTTCCTGCTTGCGCCACTGGTCCCGAGATTCTGCTGCCAGTGTGGGGCCTTGACTAGCACGTATTGCGACGCATTTCGTATCGCGAATATCCAAATCCGCAGGACCTGCTCATAGTGTGGACACACATATTTGGGTTGCCTGGTCCTCATCGATCGCCGGCGCTGCCCGGGCGTTACAGAACCTGCTGTTCCAGAACCGCCGCCCGTATCGAGATCGTGATCCGAGCAGCGCATCATGGCGAGCACCGCCCTAAACTTCATTACCTTTAACCAGGACCACAGCTGCCTGGCCGTCGGTGAGACCCCCTCGTATCTGCTTTCTTGATCCCAGATGATGTTTCATGGATCAAGTTTACTGACTGTCTTGCCTTGCATTTTGATAGGTACTTCCAAGGGCTTCCGAATCTACCACACCGACCCGTTCTCCAAAATCTTCAGCAGCAACGATGGCAACATTGCTATTATTGAGATGCTGTTCTCGACTTCTCTTGTCGCCCTGATCCTGTCTCCACGACACTTGATAATACAAAACACAAAGGTTAGTGCTAAACACATGCTGGCAACTAGACGTGCCAGGTTATGAAACTCTACTGACGTTAAACAGAGATCCTCGGTCATCTGCGAACTTACCTTTCCATCTGCCGTGCTCGCCGTGCGTCTCAACCGGAAACGTCTTGCCGTCGTTCTCGAATCCGAAATCTACTTATACGACATTTCCAATATGAGCCTTCTTTTCACAATTCCTACGTCTCCCAACCCAGGCGCAATTTGCGCTCTATCACCCTCCTCGGAAAACTGCTACATTGCGTACCCTTTACCGAAACCTCGGGAGGACTCGGGAGACAAGAGACCAGCCCATGCGCCTCCTCTCTCAACATACGTTGCACCGACATCGGGAGAGGTTTTGGTGTTTGACACGCTCACATTGAAGGCTGTGAATGTCATTGAGGCTCATCGGTCACCGCTGTGCTGCATCTGCCTCAATAGTGAAGGAACACTTCTGGCCACAGCGAGTGAGACTGGTACCATCATCCGCGTCTTCTCAGTCCCTGGAGGTCAGAAACTCTACCAGTTCCGCCGAGGAACCTATCCATCCACTATTTACAGCATGTCATTCAACCTCAGCTCTACCCTTCTCTGCGTTTCCTCGACTTCCGATACTGTCCACATCTTCCGTCTCGGGGCCCCTCCTCCAGGCAACAATTCCGCCGCAGCAGCAGCAGAGACACCTGCTTCACCTCGCCAGGATCGCTGGTCGAGGTCGCGCAGCTACGACAGCAACAATGAGTCGCCTGTGGGGAGCGCGGCTGGTTCTCCACGAAGCGACCTGGCGGAACCCGCTGGGCTAGGCAATGGCGGCTCTTCCCATCCCCAGCAACAGATCAACAGGCGGCAAAGTGGCTCCTTTAGTAGCATGCTCCGGCGCTCGTCGCAGATTATGGGTCGCAGCGTGGCCGGTGTCGTTGGCTCATACTTGCCGCAAACGGTGACGGAGATGTGGGAGCCCCTCAGAGACTTTGCGTACATCAAGATTCCAAAGTCTTCCAATTCGCCGACGGGCCAAGCCCGTGGGAACAACAACTCGAGCGGTTCGCAGCCGCTGACTGGCCCGCTTCGAAGTGTCGTGGCCATGAGCAGCAGCAGTCCTCAGGTAATGGTAGTCACCAGTGACGGTGGCTTCTATGTGTACAACATTGACATGGAGCATGGCGGAGAGGGCTACCTGGTCAAACAATTCTCGTAAGTCATTACACCGTTGTCTCGTCATCGTTATATGTTCCTGGTCCACAGTACTAAGCTAATTAATGTCTTTGGCAGGGTCATTGATGGCGACGACAAGTTGGACGCGTCTTCGTACGGCACGTAAAGCAATGTTTGCGTACCTCGTAAAGCGAGATGATGAATGGCGATTGGGACTTGTTGGAGTGAAAGATGGGGGCCGATTCTGCATTAGGAGGCGTACGGACGACTTTCTCTATCTTCTTCTACCTCTGTTTATTTTGGTCTGTACCTAAAGGAGACGGTATGGCCCATGGGGAGGGAGGCTACAGCACCTTGCATGCTTGACCTAGGTAATTTGGAGCAACTTGCTTGCCCAGTGGCTGACTGCTACGAAAGAGAGCGCATTTATTCGCTCGAATGCCAATCACATATTTAAACGGCGTTAACGAGCCCCGCGAACTCGCCTGTGATCTACTACACAGGATCGCGCCAGATCATATACTAGACCGAAACTTTCTCATCATACCAATAATCAAGTAATTTGAAGCTAAGTCGGAACGGGAACTATTTTGCCCAATGCATGGCAACCAACTAGCTTCAGAACACTACGCACGATTAAGGGGGAAGTTAATGGTACTGAATGGTGTGCTTTGTTGCTTGCTGTCCCCGCTTCATCCCTCCAGCAAGATTCCGTCACTGTCACTGATCGCAGGTACCCGATGATTTGGCGGTCAAGTATCCTTTATTATCAAAAGATTGTATAGACAGAGGCTGTGAGGAGGCCCCCACCACTCCCACCACTACCACCCTAGAAACAGACATAGTCAAGTAAATACCAGGCCAGCCGAGCTACAGCTGTCGAAATCATGCGCCGGACTGTCCATCCCAAAGTGCCCGAAGAATCAAATCTCACCCACAGGAGATAATACCATAGCGCCGTTCCATCAGTCATATATCCGCACAAATCATTCCACATGAAGTTTTACCATTGAGGATACAACCTGAACTAGACAGCTACCGACCGGGCCTTGGACCCGGCTGATCAGCCTTCCCTGATGTATCCAACACTGGTGTAAATATAATATTAAAGAACGTCCGACGATCCACGTGGGCGAATAAACGAGAGATATGGTCTCGGAGTTGACGCAAGGTAGAAGAATACGCGTCACGCCGCCGACTTGAGAAAGTAGCCGACTTTACCTCGCGTAAGGACGGTTCATCAGGGCAATCTCTCTGGCAATTTCACCCCATTCGAGTTCCCGCTTCACCCTAGACGAGCCCTTTTTCTTCAATTGATTGAGCTCTTCCCATTTGAGAAGCTCGTAGGCGAAACGGAGGTGTGGTTGAATAATGACATTGAGCCTGCGGGCTCGGACGAAGCAATATGCTCGAGGAAATGACAGTCCCAACGATCGCATTACTTCGGCGATGCAAATGGTAGCACTGCGCGATACTCCGACACGGCAATGTACCAGTGTGGCTGTTCCGTTGCGCCGGCCACGTTCTGAGGTAAAACGAGTAAGCACTGTTCCGACGTTCAACATATGAGGTATTGCTGACTTACCAATAAAATCAAGGCATCTCTCAAATTCATCCGTCAAAGGATCAATTCCGTTATCCTGCACTCCCTGTACAATGCAGACGTTTTCTGGACCCCATTGCTCTAGCTCGCCTTCCCTCCACATCGAAGTCTCGCCAACACTCAGGATTTGAGTTATCCCCATGGCCCTCAAAAGGTCGGGATTGTTCGCGTGACATAGGTTGCCGAGATACATGTATTCGAGAACTCTGCTAGGCAATGATCCATCGAGGCCGGGAAGCCACGCTGGTTCCTTTATTAATGATGTGATCTCGCCGAGGCCCTTGCCCGAGTGAACAGGCGACTCATGTAGCAATCGGGCCTCGATACACGTCAGAAGAGCAACATCAGTAGGATAGGCGAAGAAATTCCGCTTCTTGATGGTATGCAAGTCCAGCCACGCATCGGCAATGCCTCTGCCAGTGCTGTAGCTGAAGTATGCGATTCCAAGCATGGTGGACTCAGTGTATCCGTCGGCACAGTGGATGAGGATCTTTCTCTCTCTCCTATTAACAGGCGGCAAGGTCTGCCCGTTCATGTCGATGTCGCCGTCCCCATCGATATCGGTGCTGTTCGTGGCTGGAAGCGTGCCATGGGCTAAGTGATAAATCCATTTGCAGGTTTCCAAAATGCCATCGGCTTCAGCTTGTGACCAGGTGGGTGGTAGAATGCTTCCAGAGGAAGGGAAGTCAATATAGGGCCTCTGAGCAGGTTCAACCCGAGACTCAGCCAAGGTCCGCAGCGCTGAAGGGTTAAGCCGACCAACATCACTACATTCGATCAAGACATCGAACTGTTCGTCTTCCCCTGAAGAAGGCTCTGGTGTTGGGCCGAGCCAAACGTTGTGGGAGATTTCTGATGCTCTGGTCATGTCGTACATCTCCTTCCGCTCTTGGTGGAAAAAGTCGAGGACATTGCCAGTCAGCTGGCCCCGAGCGTCGACAGCAACAATCTCTTTATGGTTGGTTTCAAAGTTGTCAAAAGGCGAATAACACATGAATGTGTTGTATTCGGGAACAGAGTGGCCCTGAGCTTCGTGCCTCTGTCGCCATCGAAGCTGTGCCGTCGCAATATCGAGGCTCACTTTGCGAACGGCCGTTTCATCCTCGCCGTAAACAATGATGTCTGAAACCATGGCGGCTTTGGCAGATTGAATCTGGAAATTTCTCACACAAAAGCCATCGCGGGGGTCGACATCGAGGAACTCGGGGGCGGCGGCGGCCAAGTTGATGAGTTCTTGAGGAGCTATAGCACCTTTGAGACGGGCGACGCTCAGATCACCGTCCGCTTTGACGAGTGTAACCCCCCGGACACATGTAGGTGTTCTGCGGAGTGAACGATGACGGGCAATAAAGAATGCTTGCTGGATATGGTTATGGGGATGCAGACCATGGAACCATGGGAAGACTTGATTCGGATCCGGCAAGGGCTGGCGGGAGATGTAGTCGACAGCAGCAGCCACATCAGTGGGGCTGACGGTATAGACGGTGGCCGGGCCCGACTCGAATTTGGAGAACTTGTCGGGGGGAAACAGCAATGAAGTCTGCTGGATCAAATCGTCGTCGCGAGGAGGTGATGGAGGAGGAGTATTGGGCTCTTCGGCGGGAATAGGACCAGGAGGACAAACTGGAAGATGCTTGTTTGGTACGGGCACTTGAGAAGTGCCAATGGACTCGAGCGATATGGTTGGGACGGGTCCCACCGTCGACGTTGGGCGATGCGGGGCAATAGGTCTCGGGAGGGCGATTGTCGCCATACTGAAGTATGTATGCTGTTTTCTGTGTTCCTGTTTCCTTCACTTTGTTGCCTTGAGCCAACAGTTGATCGCAATCGACGCTGTGTGCCGGCTTTCTGCGAATAGCTGGGGCTGGGTTGGAAAGACGGTGCTACTGCAACCAAGGCCTAAACCCACAGGTAGAACCGGGTGCGTCTCTTGTGCCGAGCTGGTGATAGCTGTAATCCGACCAAACTATGTTAGACGTCGAGTTGGCAACAGACACAACAGAGAAATGATGGAGGAGGCCGTCGGATGCTCATGCGATGATCAGGAGAGAGAAATACACTCGACTTGACCGTCTGATTGATCTGAGTCTGAGATATGTTGGAAGGAAGAAGGAAGAAGAGCGTTTGTCACTGCAACAGGTTGGGGTACTAATTAGACGGGCGTGGGAACACGGGGGCAGGACAAGGGGATAGGCAAGGTGGGGAGAGCAGAAAGAGAGGGCCAGGAAGGGGGCGGCCGGGGAGGGAGACAGGAGAGAGAGATGATATCTGGACGCAGTGAAGGGTAAGGAAGGCACTCGAACTAACCGTAAGTCGGCTGGGCTTTGGATCGACTGGCTGGGGTGATGGGCGATCCTTATCGTGCGTGCCCAAAAGCAACCAAACAGCAGGGTAGCTTCCACTTCGGCTCAGGTAGAGTGTGGTAGTGTAGGTGCGTTCCGGTAGTAGCGAGAATGCAGTAGCGCCAGTTCGTGATAAGCCGGGCGGCAGTGTCTCTAGTCTCTCTTTCAAGTTTTCTCTGATGGCCTGTTTATGGATGATACAATCGGCTCTTTGAACATGAGGTGAGTGAGTGTAGTGGGAATTGAGCGTCGAGACCGACTTCGAAGCTACCAGTACGAGGACGGGGACGAACAATGTTCTACTGAGGCGGAGAAGGATTATTCTGATGGTGGCAGGAGGTGGGCGGGCGGCATCCTGTCAGAGGAGAGAGGGTGTCGGATGATTGGGGAAAGAAGAGAAAAGGAGCGAACACACAGGGGAGCGAGGAAGCCGTGGAATGGACTGAAGTAATGAAGGTTTTAGTTGTGTGTGCTAAGCTGCTTGAAAGGAGTGGTGACACGTCAGGTACAGTGCCGGCGTCACGATGGTGAGGAGCGACCTGGAAACCTATCACCCTACCTATGCCGTACCACCTTATCCGCAAGGCACCTTTCCTGTCCGTACGTATTACTGGCACATTCAGGTAGTATAGGTATCAAGTGTCGACGAGATGGGCAGACAGCTCTCTCCAACATGCGAGACCAAGCCCACGCCCGCGCCCGCGCCCCAACTCCCAAGCCATTTCACCTGGCATCTCATCTTGTCCAATCAAGGAGCCTGGATAATATGGAGATTTCATGGATAGAGGAGGGGGAGGGGGGTTGGAGAGGGACATGGGGGGAAAGGGATCAGTGCCAATGGTGGGCAGCGTTTACTTGGCTTGGAGCACGGCCGCAGAAGGGCTTCGGCAATGCAAGTTAGCGCTAATACTGTGTAGTCACGATAGTGTACCTACCCGATACCTATTCTTACCGATACCTGTGGCAGATATGCCCAATCATTTCTGGCGACCGCCACGTTGGGATCGAATACTCTCTTTAAATGCTGGCGAGGTACGTGGATTGCTCATCATCATGCTGTTCGTAATTTCTTTCACTGCTGGCGGCTATCAAAGAAGGGACCAACCAACCTGGCAATGGTTTGTTTGGTATTCGCATTAAGAGACCCAGGCAAGGCCTAGCGAGGCGCGGTGTTGGACCCCAGGTTTTTTTGTACCCCTCACCTTCAAAGGTATTGGATCCAACCAAAGCGTGCTAAGGTAGTGTAGCCGTAGACATGTCTTTTGTCGATCTGGTCTAGGCCTCCGAGTCGTCCAATTCCCAATTGAATGAGGCCGACGGTCATTCTCCTAGGCAACAGAAGAACACAGAGATTTCCATCATGTCCGTCAGGAAAGAATGACGACGGGAGGCTCGGGGTCGAATACAGTCGGGATCATCGGTTGTGGTGACAATTGGACGCATCGTCTGGTGCTCGGTCAACGTATCCACGTGATCAATCATCAGTATCGCGAGTCTGGACCACGTTACGCACGAAATAACGGCACCATCACAAGTACCTATTTGTACAAAAGGGGATGATACTGTTCTGTTCGTAAGGAGGCAGTCACGTAGGGTGAGAAGTGGTAGGTAGTGTAAAGTGGTGAACCAACGTTGAAAGGGTAGGGTCGAGAGAGGAAGACGTGGTCCCGGGGGCCCCTTGGTTGGACCCAGGAAATCGGGGGTGGAGACGGGAGGGGGCCATGGCCCATGCTGCGCTCGAAGGGCGGGGGTGTCACATTCCAAGTGGAGAAGGTGCAAGGCGCTACTGCACGGCTGCTGCATCCAGTGGCATCCAGTGGCATCCATGTGGTCGTAGCGCCAGTCTCAGCCATTGAGAATGAACGGATTGAGTGCCACCACTGCACCGCTGTACCGCACCCGCCATACATCAAACAGACACGGTGAGACTCTGAGCATGCCATCGAGTACCACGATGAGATGACTCGATTGCCTTTACTTGTCCCTTTTTCCTTTGGCTCTACCTGTGTGCCATCTATTAATTTGCCATCATGAGCATCGAATGGCCTGGATCTCTCACGGCGCGCATCAAGAGGCGATGTAGCCAATTCCTTGAAGTAGATGCTTACTGACGTACCTTCAGGTGACGTAGGTACCTACGACATCCTAAGATATCAGATAAGAGTGAGTGACCACACCCCGCTATATCAAACGGCCATGAAATTGGGAGTCGGGACTGCTGCGAGTGGCCACGGTTCTAGCGGGGTTACACACTATGGACAAAGGTATGCCACTCCGTAGTGTAGAGTTCGCCGGCATGAGATTGTTTGTATTTCGCGACATCCCTGCCTGTCTGCCCTTCTTGAAACATGTCGAGTGGCAACAAGAGACTTGAGTATCTGCACCAGTATCTTCTGGTGCTGCACCAAAGCCACTCAAAACCAATGCTCTTAATCAGAGACGGGAATGAGAAGGAGACCTCGTGCTCAAGGAAACTTCTACCGACATCTTGAAAACCTGCCGAACCCTCCATGTGCGCATCTGGCACCACACTCCAGCCAGTCCAACTCTAAGGTCGTCTCATTCCGTCTCCACTGACCGGCTCATCCGCGGGGCTGGGGCCATACCCATTCCAGCCGGTTGCATTCGACCATTGGTGCGTCTCCAATTATTTCTGAAAATCATCAAGTGCTAGCTCTACCCTGCGAATACTAATACCTAAGCCTCGAATTCTTCAGGTGGTCACGTACAAATAGTCTGTGACAACCGTCAGAGGCCCTATGCCGGCATCTTTAATATACCTAGCTGAAGCTGAACGTCAGACGTAGGGGTCAGGCTAGCTGCGATGAGATGGATGAAACGAGGCAGAACATCTCCCTGACTGCTGGTTCCCGGAACGAGTGCATGTCCAAGGTACTGGTATACATAATACTAGATGTTCCCGGCGGACCCTAGGTTCATCACGAGAGAGGCTCCACATCATGCCTCGGTGTTTTTTTGCCCATTCATTGTATTATTATATTTATCATTGAGTGCCGGCAACGCACCTGTCAATCCATAGATCTTAACATGGGGACAATATCCAGCGCCAATCTGCCATCTTGCTACTCCGTACAGGGCTTAGAATTGCCTTCCCCATAGATAGGAAGAACGCACGACTTCTACCTAGATGCCCCCCAGAATTTCTAGATGGCAAGCAGCGGCCGTTCAACATTCCAAAACCCCTTGAAATACTTAGTTGAGGTCCAGTCCAGGTGCAGAGTAGGTTCAGTTAGCACCCGCAAAGAACATTGTCACTGTAGTGTCTATCGTAAAAGCTCCGGTCAGCAGTGTCCACAGCGAGATCGAAAGCTCACCGGCGCAATCTTCCAACCTCCAAAGATCAAGGAGGGCAGCTCTACAACGTAGTGTTCTAGGTACTACCGTCGCAGAGGCACTGATATTAGAGCACCCGCCGCGGGGGTGGGACGGAAGTCCCCATTAGGGACTTGAGGTTATTACCCACGATCAATCCGCCCATGCCTCATGTGGCTGGTGCCGCTAGAACTTAATTGAGTTGCTGATATGCTGAAGTAGGTAGGTGAGGTAGCGACGCGCCGAGGCAGCATTACCTAAGGCAGTCTAAGACAAGAAGCATCGACCATCTTACGTCATTGAGATGCACGACAACAAAAACACTTGCGGAATGAAGCACATGCTTTCTCGCCTTACCTAAGGTACGGTAAGGCGGAAGGTAAGTCAAATCTGAGGCAGCAGTGACCACGCTCAGAGCATTACGCACCACTCCCGCCGGTTCCTGAGCTAACAACCTCAAGTTGTCTGGGAACCTATATTGAAACCTACACCATACGGACACTGAGGCGCGTAAGCGAAGCGGTGACTCCCGTCCAGTCCTAGAGCTTCATCGACAGCATTTCTACTTTCCAACCCAAGCTATAGGCTTAGAGCGGAGGCTAAGCCTACCTTGCCCAGCAGCTCTCTTACGTCCTTCCAGGTCCCTGACCTTGGAGCCCTGGTAAGCCTTCTACTGCATCGCGTCCGTGATGGCGGCATTCTCTGTACGATCCCGCCTGAAAGATAACTAACTTGTCTTCTTTGCGACCCAAAGCCTACCTCTTCCAAACGAAACGCATCGTCCTTGTTTATCGCGACACCCATAGATCACTGCTCCAGCCATGCCCAAGTCCACGTCGCTTCGCAGGCTCACCGACAGCCACCCGTGATAGTTGACCACGCCTTTGATCGCGACGCCCAACCTTCCTCACTTGTCTCCGATATCCGTGTGATATCCCCGTTCACTGGCCCTTGTGAAGCATCCAGATACCTATCAATACCGAACTTAACGACTTCAGCACCGTAAGCCTGGTTTCGAACGATAACAACGGAACATAATGGCCTCTTCAGAACAGAGCCATACCTACGGCCTCAAGTGCCGCCTTGCTCCGGTGTCCCAGCCGTTGACTGGGAGCGCCGACGATGGCATCCCTGCGGTTGCTGCACAGTTCTTCTATTCTTCAATTTTACCTATAGACGATCCTCTATCTCCGGGAACAATCGCTGGTGTATCAGATGCTCGAACCGCTCGTGGCCCGATTCGTCCATTCTCGCTCGGTGACAACAACGCCCTCGAGAAGGCATGGCTCAGCTTCCTGTCTGACGACGATATACAAGCTCATGAGCAGTTGGTTCGAGACAGAAAACTGAGTCCTAATACCGAGAAAGCTAACGCGCATAAACTGGGCCTCTTGGCGCGCCACCTGGCTGTCAAGCACCTACAGAAGCATGGTGGTATCATTCAAACATCGATCACGGCCGGCGAAGCTTCGGACCTGCTTCCGGACACCCCGATATCTACATGTTGCCCTGAGTTATTCATTGATGTCTCTACCGAGCTGCAGAATACCTTT